GCAGATGAAACAGGACCTGGATGCCGCGAGTCGGTATGTTGGGATGCTGGGATGCTGGGATTGGGAGATTCAGGGTTAAAGGGTTTCTGGGAATCGGCGGATACTGGGAACTGGAGGCCCGTAGATATGACGGGTATCCAATCATTTTAACGAAAATAAACCACAACAGATGGCGCTGTGTATGCCTTGTAAGTTGATGCACGAGTGGGCGGCCGAGGGGCGTGGCCGGAAGTGACAGATGAGCACAGGTTTCGGCTGCCACATGGCAGCTTATCTCAGTATCCTGCCCCTTTTCGTCTGGGACGTCGTAAGATGGTCTGGTTTATGCTGCGGTCACTTGTGGCATCCACCGCCTCCTGCCGCCTGTCACCCCCGCTCCCCCCCTTCGCTCGTAGTCCTTTTGGCCGTGTTTGTTTGCGCTGCGGTTGGCCAAGCGCCGCTTTGCAATTGGAATTTTTGTCGCATTTACCAAAGTGCAACACGAAACGGCAACGGCGAAGGCGAACGGCTGCTGCAGATAAATCTCATGAAATAATTACACGTGTTACAGTAAATGCTGTTAAATTGCCACCGTTCTGAATCTACCCATGTACCCTTACACTCAAAGAAAAGATGGCTTATAAGATGAAATCATACCATCGGCCAGGGCTTGACTTTGGTGCATCCGAATCAGTTACTTCCACCAGTTACCAGTGTACTCTTGCTGGCTGCCAAGGAGATGGTCGCCGGGCCATGTAAATGCATTCATGAATGAGTGGACCTCATGGACCACGGAATTGCACGAAAGCCGGTACACACGAACAGGATCTGTGAGTGTTTCAATTCGCACACAGTCTGTGGAGGGTTCGGAGAGGAGGCAGGGCAACCGCAGGACTTATGCCCAATTGGGAAAATTATTTTGTGCCACTGCGGCATAAAAATAAAAATTAAAAAAACCCAAAAAACAGGGGGGGAAGTAATGAAAGAGGGAGCGGGTAGTAAAAGCCAAATACACCCGGCTTGTGGAGAGTTAATAACACGGCAGTTGGACGAGGGGCTTAAAATATAAATTGAATATCAACTGGATGGGCGGCTCATTAGCGGTCAGTGGAGTCCCTGGCACAGGGTCCGGGGCCAGCAGACCGGCTCTGCAAGTGTTAATTGAAAATTAGACTTCAGGCTGTTGAATATTTATGCGTTTTATATTTATGCCCCTGATGATGACACGCCTCGACCGCATAATAGTAGTGGAAGGGGGGGAGTTGGGAGCTTGGAATGAATTTTCTTTAGCCCTTTGAAACGGGTTTATTGGCTTTTCCTTTTTAAGATTTTTTTTTTTTTTTTTTTCTGTTATCCCTATGAGTTTTTGGCGCAACGCCGCCGCATTGAAGTAATCACATAAATCACGCAACGCTTCGAGGCTGTAAAAGCGTCGCCAGCTCCCATTATGACTCGCAGATAAAATGCCCCGGCAGATGCATAGAAATAAAAATAAAGACCCAGTGGCAGCGACTGCTTTATTAAGCATAATGCGGCCATAAAGCCATTCGAGCCAATCGAGTCCTTTGCCGCACAGAGTCCTTTGGTCCCTGCCAATCGCCAATCGAGAGGGAATAGGACGCGAAATAGAATTGGAGTTGGGGAAGTGATGAGCAGCCTTGCAGCCAAAGGATTACGCCAAGGTATGGACAGCGCCTAATGATTGATGGGCCACTGCGGCCAATTCTTGGCTCCGGCTTTGTTTCGCCTCCTGGCCTTTGGGGCTCTATGGATCTATGGATCTATGGCTTTCATGGCTTCTATTGCTTCCGCCGCTGCCTGCAGCACCTCTCAATAAACTGTAAGCCCGTAAATCATGCTCTCCATTCGTTGCGTGCCAAGTCATAAATACCTACGACCTCCGCAGTCTCCCACTCTAGTACGACCGATGTTGCAAGTTCCTCTAAAGCGGCCTGCTGCAGCTTTTTAATTAAGGCAGCAACACAAAAAATTCCAAATAACATCAAAAGCAACAAGTACTTAGGAAGCTAGAACGCGGAATTTGATACCCTAGAAGTAAGGAAGTGCATTTGGATGGTGGGTTTAGGGTCATGGGAAAGAATTTTACATAATTTTCTTTCAAAACGTTATGTTTTAGCTTTTCTAAAACTAGATCGTCCAAGTCTATGGAAAATGTAAGCTACCATTTTGCCGGAAAAATATCCTCTACGTCCTCTACGTAAAAGCCACAGCCGGAGAAGGACTAAAAGCTGCAAAGGGACGCAGTGGCCAAAAGACAAATGGCCAAGGCGCGAATTGTTTGACAAGAGCGCTGGACTGCGGGCCACTGTCATCCATCAAAGTGGCCCAGAACCGGGAGCGGGTAGATTGAAATGGCTGCCATTGCAATTATCGCCTCTGAGTCTCGCTGCCATCCGTGACTGTCCCCAAAGGCCATTTCCCGCTAGATTAGGTCCACTGACAATACATAACCGAATTAACGCCACGGGGTCTCGCATTTTCATATAACAATTTTTGGGTCTACAAAATTCCCATTCCGGTCTCTACTGTCTATAGACTATACTATCTCCAACTTTTTTTGGCTTGCCGGGCATGCATCATTCCCGGCTGCAGCCTGTAATTTCAGGACCCAAGAACAACTGGAGTGGACTGCATCTTTTCGTCATGCAGCTAGATTTATGAACCTGCGGATTCAGTGGGCCTCCAGACCTCTGGTTGTGCCTTTGGCCATATTGTAAATCATTTCCAAATTATTTAGTCGCTCTCGGTTCATATATATATTCATATTTTTGGCGCCTTTGCGCCACGTCGACGACGGCGTCGAAATACGGCACGTGATTGCGTTATAAATTACAAGCCATTGGATTCATATAGTGCTCTACCCCAAACCACAGTCCGAATTTCGATCCCCCTGATACAGGGTGGATGGGTCGAGGATGTTTCTCCCGGGGCTGGAATTCTAAAGCGAATCCTTAAGGGAATATTGTTCAATATTTTTTGGTTGTAGGTGCTCCTTCTAAACAGCTGCTCCTTTTTATACAAAAATATATATTTAATTTAATAAAAATTTCAGAATCTTTTTAAAAGAAAAATAATCTGACCTGCAAACGCCAGTTGTGTTGCATGTAATTTAATATTCATTATATTCGCTATAAACGCTCTGCCACTATGATTGCATGATCTGTCAATCTGCCCAATTGCCAGGACTATCCTCCTCCGTTTCGGCCCAACTCCCATACCCACCCATATGGGCACCTCCTTTGGCTTTTCAGGCGATAAAAACGAAGCGAAAAGTGCCGGTATCTATTAATATCGCTTTTGGCTTTTCGTTGGCAGGCCAGAAGGGAACTACTGCTGGAACTTGGTAACTAGTATCGGGTTGTTGGGAAAAAAAAGCCGGGTTGGAAAAACGCTGAAAACTTCTAACGAACGACACCTGCCCTAGGAAAGTCCTTGTTTCCCCTACCGTGCCCCCCTCTCTTCATTTTTTCCTATATTTTATTTGTTGTTGTTTTTTTTTATTTTTTGGTGGCGTGTGTCTCGCTTTTCTTCTTGCTGTTTGCATTGGGTCCCCCCTTTTCCTTTTGGCGATACACCGCTGCTGATGTTGCACGAATGTTGTAAATCAAAAGTAGGCGAGTCACACGAAGGGTCTTCCTCCCCATGTGTCCCCCGTCTCCTGTTGCTGGCTCTGTTTGTGATTCTGTTTCTGCTGCTGCTGCGCCTATTTGACTGGCAGGCCGAGCGGATAACGCTGGCAATTATCGCGCTTGTGCCGCACGAACGGCGGAAGCGGCAGAGGCGCCACATCATGTTACCCGGTCCGTTCCGTTCTGATCTCCTGCCCCACCTCCAACCAGTCCTAGTCCCTTCCTTTACCCCTTCTCCGGCTCGTGCCCCATTCTTTTGTTGGCGGCATCCTTTACTTTCGACCTAGTCTTTTTTCTTTGTGCAATCCAATTGGTGGCGCACAAAATAAAGAAAAAATAGTAGAACATAAAAGCAACATCAACAACAATAACCGAGCCAGCTCCAAGTCCCCAAAATATATGGCAAAAAGAAGCGGGTAGCTACTAGCCCTCTTCAATCCCGCCCCTGGAACACCCCTATCCGGTCAGTCAGTCATTGAAGTCAAATATTGCCACCAAAAGTTTTGCCCGGCTTATCATACCCTGGCCCATACTTTGATTTTGACCAAAAGCATTATAAAATTTTAAAAAAGCTAAAGATTTTTATAATTTTTAAGATTGGGAGAATAAATAAATAGTTTTAAATCTATAAATATTTGAAATCCTTCTTTTATTTATTATAGATCTTCTTCGCAAAAAGGGTATATTCACATTCGAAGCGCATAGTTTCTGGAGCGGATCTGAACGACTCCTTCGCGCTGGAACGTCCACTGTGTTCCATTCCGTTTCGTGTGCAGGATGTGTTTACAATTTGTGGACACACCGACCGTCATTTGATGGCTTTCCCCTTCTTCTACGACTTGTCCTTCGACTGGTACTCCGGCCAGTCCATTCCTTCGGTTAATTCGCCAGGTGGATCCAGAATGCGCATTGCTTTAAGGGCAGGGGCGTCCTGAGAATGGGAATCCCAGGAGGGGATCCCGATAAGCGGCACTCGTTTGTTTGCTCGGGAGCCGCATGGAAGATGACGTGCCCGGGATGGCCCATAAATGAGACTCTGAGTTGAGCAAACAACCCGGAAATTCAGAACATACAATCAAATAGGGTCGGAAAAGGGTCGGACGGCTCTATATCTGCATTAATCTGGTCAAATGAACCGCTCTTCATCCGCATTCGTGGGTAATTTCAGTGGTTTTCACAGGAACTATTTTACTTTCTTCTTAATTGTTCCTTTCACTTATGAAAATGTATAAAATTAAAACTACTAGCAGAATACGGTTTCAATAATTGGAATATATAACAGACAAGTTTGCTTGCTAAGTTTTTAAAAGGATAAACAGCCGCAAGCAATCCTTCGAATAGTTGGCGCCATATTTAAAATTTTGTAACGCCATCTGTCACATTATTGAATTTAGATTTTCTTACAAAAAGTCTTTTCAAGGCCAGTACCAAAATTTGATCATGCAACCACGTGACATATTACGTATCTTTTTGTTTTTCATCTTGCGTTTTGCAATAAACTTTTTCTTTCTGTACCGCCAAAAATTCAAAGATGAGTTGCATACCAATAAATCGGATAGTTGGCGATAGCTTTGGTGGGTGACACAGTGTCACCTCTATAAAAGTGTCATCTCTAATAGAATCATCTGTTGCTTATATTTTGGTAAAAACATGGAAATTTGTGTGAACTGTTCGGAAAATACTCGGAAATACAAATGCAGCAAATGCTACGCGCCCTAGTGAGTATAATTTGTTTAATATTTTTCATGTTTTAACTTAATTGTCCGACTTTAGCTGCTCCGTAGTTTGTTATAAGGCCCACAAGGACACACCCGAGTGTATAGATGCGCAGAATGCTCGAAATATAAAGGAACTCCAGTCCCAGCAAGCTGACCAAGAGGAACCCACTCTCCACGCACCCTTCTCCACAGATGATACAGTGCAGATTGAGGCGCTGCAACAACTAGGTAGGATTTCCATCCACGTTAAACTCTTAATAGTTAAAAATATTATTTTTTTTTACTTTGCCTGCAGAAAATAGCGAACAACTGAAAAACCTACTTCACAATCCCCATCTGCGCTCTCTGCTTCAGCAAATCGATGTAGCAATAAATGCCCATACGGCCATGGCGGCGGCCATGCAGGAGCCCCTGTTTCTGGAGTTTGCTGACGCGTGCCTTCAGGTTGTGGAGCCCATGACGGAAGCCGAGCGGGCTGAACTTGATTTGTGTTATTGAAAATGATCAGTTTTGGTTTACAAATGTAGGATTATAAATTTTTAGTAACTCCAAAGAATCTGTAGATACATTTCTAGGGTATTCCAGGTATGATTCCCTTTCCTAATACGGCATCTCGTAGGCTAGGGCAATCGAAGATGATCATACTTTTCGTAAGGTGCATGAAATTGAGGATTAAAATATCAGATATATAATTTAAATTGTATTTTATATACATGCATACAAAAATCGTCTTATGATTATTAAAAAATACTATACAAAATATTACAATTTAAAAAACTCTTGCCTCTAGTAGTTTTGCCTCTCAAAACTATTGGAAATTCTCACATTTTTAAAGCTCTTGATGTCTGATTACTTTTTTCGATATATACACAGTGAGATCCTCAGGCAGCTGGCATTGATGCAGCTCCTGGGCAAGGGCGAAGTAACGTCTTCGAAGAAGAAAAGCGACTTCCTTCGGCTGCCGGTTCCTGGTAAATACGCCCTTCTTATTGCCTCCTACACGGGTTATAGCTAAAATGGATAGATAATGTTTCAATATAAACTCCAAATGTATATAAAACATAATCCCACTTTGAGCTGTTCGAAAGTCAGCGAAATTCCACACAAACTCCCCAATGAACCATTTCTCAGCCCGAAGTTTATCAAAGGCAATGAAGTGGCGTGAGAATAGTTCCACTTGGTACTCCTCCGACCAAACAAAGGCTGGAAGCTAAACAAAAAAAATTTATGTAAAATTGGAAAAGAATGAGTAATATTTTTGACTAACAGAGTGCATGCCCTCCATGGTGTCTCCTCCATATTCGAATTGAATTACAGGCTTTCCGTAGGTTTTCCGCCATTTTTGCGCCTCATCAGTGAGAAGATTAACTATCATGTCAGTTCGTCCGGTATTCTGATACCAAGAGTTATACCGATTAAAGCCCACAATGTCCAAGAACTGGGTTAAATGACAAGTGCTGGGATTGGCATTGATTGCTGCTGTCAGTGGACGACCATGTGCTATGCCGCGAGTGTAATTAACCAAGGATCTGCGGAAGAAAGCTGTGATTAGCGTTGAATCAGACTTCGAGGTTACAAAACCAACTTAAAGTATTTTAAAGCTCCCGGCTTGTAAGATCTCGGTTCGTTGGCCACCGACCAGGCAATGACGCTAGGGTGATTCCTGTCCCTATGGATGAGCTGCTCTAAGGAGGACATGTGGTTCTCCAGCAGCTGCGGCTCAAAGATATCAATATTCACCCCGGGACATTCATCGATTATCATAATGCCGTGTTCATCGGCGAACTGCATGGACTCCTCGGAATAGGGATAGTGCGAGGTGCGATAGGCATTAGCACCTATCCACTTAATCAGGTTAAAGTCCCTAGCAAGAAGGGCATTATCCAGGCCTTTTCCACGGATCTGAAAATATAAAAATAGTTGTAAATCAAGAGTTTCAACATGGGCTCAACATTGTAACCCACATCGGCATCCTCGTGGCGTCCAAATCCTCGCAGATAGAGGGGCACTCCATTTAATAGCAAGCTCTCGTTGTTCCACTTCAGATTGCGTATTCCTACAGGAAGCCGATAGGAATCTTGCATAACTTTTGCCTCCCCCTCATTAGTCTCAACGAACAGCTCAAATTGAAGGTCGTATAGGTAGCCAGGATCAGGATGCATGAGGTAAGGCCACCAAGGATGAGGGTCTGGCACCAACAGAGTGCCGTGGTAGATTCCTTTGTTTATCTGCTGAGCCGCCACCTGGTCTTCTCTGTCCCTTAACTGAACATGAATATGTGATAGATTAACCCCCATATGGCTTTCCTGGATGCCATCTATCCATATCCGATAGTCAATTCGACCCAAACCTTCTGAGGTTAGTTGGGAGCTGACCTGCAGGTCGGATATATAAACTATAGGTGTCGTATAGAGATGGACGCTCCTGTGAATCCCTGCGTAGTTGAAGAAGTCGAAGGTATAGCTCTGAATCGGCACGGAGCCGTTGTCCGTTTTCACATTGTTTACCGATCCCTGGGGAATTGTTCTATTCCCCAAACGATTGTCACACATCACGGTGATCCTGTTTTCTCCACCAAAGTTAAGAAGACTGGATATGTCGGCCTCGAAGGGCAGGTGGCCAATTGAGTGATGGGTGGCATTTCTTCCATTAATCCACACCAGAGCCGAGTAGTGTACACTGCCGAATCTCAGCCAGGTACGTTGGGTTCCCTTCCAGAGGCGCGGCACAAAGAAAGTGCGCTCGTACCACACTGTGCCCACATGGTCCCTCAAGTCATCCGTGGTGATATCATTATAAGAAGCTGGCACGGGCATCGCCAAGACGTTCCTGCCCGTCTTCCGCAAACTATTCTCGTACCACTTTTCCCGTATGCCCTGAAACGGATCGGACGCTTCACTCCGGACTAGGCGCCACATTCCGTCCAGACTGCGCACCTCTCTGGTGGCCGATTCCCGCGGATACAACAAGCCTCGGGAGGGCGTCGGCAGGCGGATGTTTCCATAGTCGAACAGGGGATACTCCAGATCAGGCTCCTCCATGAATCCCTCGCCGTTTGCGAGGTAAGGAAGTAGCAATATGCTGCAGAGCAACCAAGTGGAGGTCAGGAACACACCTCGCATCCTGGAGCTTCTTTGGGAGTGCAAATTCAATGAGGAAAAATAAAATTCCAATTAAACGACTTATTCATAAAAGGGTGGCTCTTCTTTTTCGGCCGGCTACTGATAAAAGTCAAGGTAACGGCGCAAGATAAATTTCAAGAGGAATGAGGGAATTTTGAAACAAAGCCCGCGCGGTTCAAATACTTTTTTTTCCATTAAATTGAACATATTGTAATATTTATCAAGAATATATATAATTTTATTCTAAAATGTTCTTATATTTTTGAAATTAAAACCTTAAGTGTATATATACAAAATCTAATTTACTTAGAAACTAAGAAATAAGAAATGTAATAAATAATTCAATTTATTCCTTAATTTTAAGGGTCTAAAAAAAATACAAAGCACTACGGCTACACAATTTTCAGATAGTAAATGGAAGTTGTAGGAATGGAAATGAAAATACGAGGTGGCAGTGGCCAAGGGGACTACATCATTCCCTAGAGAATTGTCGTATTTACAAATGGTCCCTTTATCCTTCTAGGATTTCCACTCAGCGATGTAAATAAAGATGTCCTCTGGGAGACTGCATTGATCTAGATCCCGACCCAAGGCAAAGTATCGCTTCCGAAGTAAGTGAGCTACTGCCTTGGGCTGACGAGCTCTGGTGAAGACGCCCTTTTTATTTCCCCCGACACGAGTGTAGCCTGAAAAAGTCATAATTTTATTATCCAAAGCTTACAGATATCGCAGGGATACCTACTCTGAGCCGTCTTGAAATCGGCAAAGTTCCACACGAATTCACCAATAAACCAGCCCTTTTTACGCAGTTCGTCAAATGCCTTGAAATGCCGAGAAAACACTTCCGTTTGGAACTCTTCCGACCACACATAGGCAGGTTGCTAAATAAATAAAAAAATATATTACAAAAAGACTTTTTTTCTTCACTATCTTTAGTTCTTACCATGTGCAGCCCCTCTAGAGTATCTGCTCCATATTCGGACATAATTACGGGCTTCTTGTACGCGTTGTTCCAGGCAACAGCCTCGTCGATCACATTTTGGGTAACCATGTCCAAGCGGCCTGTGTTTGAATACCAGGCATTATACCGATTAAAGCTAATAATGTCAAGATGACGACCCTGAAATCACAATAAAAATTGATGATGGAGCTCTGCAAGAATCCTATCCCTTACTAACCGCATGATCATTTGTGTAGGGAACAGCAATGGCCGCAGTAATGGGTCTTGTTTTGTCCAGAGAGCGCGTGAAGTTGGCCACCAAACTGGAAATATTCATTTTTTACGAAAGATGTCTTTATCCTGGAATAAATATTCACTTACCTAAAGTATGAATCCGCATTTATGTTTCCCGTACGCGGCTCGTTTGCAATCGACCACATAATCACACTTGGATGGTTCCGATCCCTGTGGATGAGCTGCTCCAACGAGGATTTGTGCTTTCCCAGCAGTTCTTGGCTGAAGTTTCTGCAAAACCAAGACCATCAATAAGATAGACAATAGCGGGAGGATGAAACTCAACTCTGTGTCCACACTGGGGCATTCATCGATGATCATGATTCCATGCTCATCGGCGAACTGCATAGACTCCTCGGAATAGGGATAATGCGATGTGCGATAGGCATTGGCACCTATCCACTTCAGCAGGTTGAAGTCCCGGACCATTAGAGCATTATCCAGTCCCTTGCCGCGAATCTAAGAAATCAGGTGATCAGGACCAGGATAGATGGTGACATTATTTGAAATTTTAAAACTAACATCGGAATCCTCGTGCCGGCCGAAGCCCCGGAAATACACAGATTTTCCATTGATCAGGAACTGAGACTTGTCCCAACTCAGAGTACGTAGACCGACTTTCAGACGATAGACATCCAGAAGCTCCTCGTTGGATGCCAGTAGCTTGATCTCCAGCTGATACAAATAGCCGGGATCTGGACTCATCAGGTATGGCCACCAGGGCTTCACATCGCTCACTTGTAATTCGCCCTCCAGTTTTCCATCCGACGTCGCATTGGCCACCAGAAGACCCGTCTTGTCATACAGATTCGCCTGGATATGGAGGTCATTATCCGCTTCATTAACAACGCTTCCCTTCACAGAGACCGCATAGGAAACCTCCCCCTCTGAGAATAAAAGATTTTAATTAAATTTCACTTCTTTTTTCAGGTTCCCTTACCAGAATTTTGGTTTTTCAGATTCGTGTTAACCTTCACTTCCTCGATAAACGTCTTGGGAGTTGTGTACAAATGCACGCTCCTGTGTATTCCAGCGTAGTTGAAGAAGTCAAATGTATAGCTTTGGACAATAGTCATTCCGTTGTCATTGGGCACTTCGGTGATCTTACCCTGCGGCACTGAGGTCTGGATCAAGGCGTTGTCGCACATCACAGTAATCAGATTTTCCGCCCCGTACTTCAGCACATCCGTGACCTCTGCCTCGAACGGGAGGTGACCCATCTCATGCTTCACCACCCGCTGGCCGTTAACCCACTAAAAAATATGAATTTAATTAGATTTGGGTCAAATGCATACAAAATTCTTTACCCACCACATAGGCCTCATAGTGGACACTACCGAATCGCAGCCATACTCTCTGATCCTTGCTCCAGGAGCGCGGCACAAAGAACCGACGATCATACCACACCGTGCCCACATGATCCCGCAGGTTGTCAGTGGTAATGTCGTTGTAGGATGCGGGGACGGGCATCGGTATTGTCGACTGGATTTTGCTAAGATCATTTTCAAACCATTTGTCCCTGATGCCCTGAGTAGGATTGGCTGGATCCGATCGAACAAAGTTCCAAATCCCGTCCAGAGAGCGCACCTCTCGCGTTTCCGATTCCCTGGGATAGAGCATTCCGCGTGTGTTGGGCACTTCCTTGTTGACCAGGATTAGGGCTATTGAGGAGTGCAGGACATATAGTCCGGTCACCAGAGAGAAAAACGAAAAAGCTGTGAAGAATCGAAAAGAGGGTGATAACAAAAAGGAGAAGCTTAATTTCATGTAGGGCCATTTAGAAACAAATAAAATAAGATCTTATCAAAGTCTGATAACAAGAAATGGGGCAAAACTGCCCCCAGCTCGTTGTGAAGTTTTGTTATTTGATAACATCCATGCCTTTGCCCCTTCAATCATTCCTATCTTGGGAAACAAAACCTGTTTCCAACAAAACAACTACAAGTTCTACTTCATGTTTCTAAATGACTAATACTTCGTACATTATCTAATCTACCTTCCATGAGCTTTTGTTTCGACACATCACGACTTTGTTATGCAGATTAAATTGTAATTTTCACCGCGCCTCAATGCCGGCCTTTTGGTAACGGTACTCACGTGAACAATTGTATGTTTATTCCGATTTTCAAAGTCGGCGGGCGAAACGAAACGGAACGAGTAAAATTGAAACGGAAATGAAAACGTATACTTAATAAGAAGAATAACAACAACTCGTTAAGGACAATAGAAGCAAAGAAAAGCAAAGCCAAACAATGCGAAAGAGCCGGACACAACACAAGGGAGGAACAAGAGAGTCGAGCTTTCAAGGCAAAATTTTAAACGACTCTCAACAAATACAAATATGTATCGCAGTGACAGCTGCTCGTTTTTTAATGTTTTTGTTTTTAGTTTTCTTTTGTTTGTGTTTTATGCTTCGAAGCATTGTTCGGCACTTTGTTTTGCTACTTATCACGTTTTTAGACACAATTAAACGAGTGTAAAGATAAAACCAACATTTCAGAAACCGCCACAATCCCATAATACCCATAAAAAACCCAGAGTTCTTCACGCTTCGCCGTGGAGAACGAAAAAAAACTACTTCCTCTATTTACTATTTAGTCTCTCCCACAAATCAGCTGGACAGTCACAAGAGCTTTTTCAGGGGAGAATAAAGCTCCTTTACTAGCAACGGTCGATAAGCACTGATCGATAGACCGGGAAATCGATAGGCCTAATTTAAGCTATTGGTCTTATCCTTAATGACCCCAAAGTAGGGGCACTTTTTAACTTTGCTGATAGAAAATTATTACCAAGAATGTCAAAAATAAACGTACATCTGTTTTACATTAAAAGGCCTCGGATTAAAAAAGAAAACAAAAAAATATCGCCAAGAATGTTGAATATCTGTTTTAAAACATTGAAGGTCTGTTTATGTTTAAGATTTGTTGCACTTGCGATTGCTCCAAAAACAGATATTTGTATTAAACAAACTAATTACACAAAACCTTATGAAAAATATTGGAAACAACTGAAACAACTTTACTTTTTAAGACGATTTGCAGAGTTATTCTAATTCTAGCAAGCAGAAATGGATCGAAGCGATATCTAACAAATTAAACACTCAAACAAATTAACGGCTGTACTAGTTTTAGATTTTTAGGCACACTTTCGACACACATATTTAATATATGCTCTTTTTTTTGATATTTGTTTTATAATTCAAGCTGTCCTTACACATGACTCTCAGCAGTCCTGAGGCGATTCAACACCCACCGCTTTCAAAACTCAACTGAACTTGCACTGACGGTGGCGAATATATTTAAGCCTCCAAAAATCGCGACTTAAAATGCCTGGCACAGCAGGTGGATGCACCGTTAGCACAAAGCGGTGCCAAATTTGCATTGGAAAGGGGGGCACTTTATCGCAGCCAGAATTTGTTTCTTAATCGAAGTGGGAGCCAATACAAATCCATTTGCTTACCCCAAATTTCATATTTGCGACAAGTGAAACGGATCCTCAAGTGCATGGCTGGCTATGTGGCAAACAGTCGGCACTTATCCGTCAGCGAGGAAATTTCTTGCGGCTACGGTCAGCACTTGGACGGCACTGGCAGTCCAACGGAATCCAATTCCGATGACGAATCCGGATCCGCGGAAGACCCCTAGCGGATGTGTCGTTAGCGGGGAACGAAATTGCGGTCGCTCGGTCGCCGGTAAAGGTCGAAGGTTGGGTTAAGGGGGCCGGGCTGGGATGTGGGTTAGGGTATTTGAAGGGAGGAAGACACGCACCGTCACTGCATTGAATGTGCCCCTAATTAAGCTCCACTTCCCCCAACCCTGTAGCAACGATAAGCCGAAACCGCTTGTCCCAAATCCAAGTCTGCTTCTCGCTGCTTTCGGGGTCAACGGCAGAGGGACAGTAAAGTCTCGATATTCATTTATTTAATAACCATCTTATTGCTTAAACAAGACACACAAATTTCTGAAAATTTACCATGACCTCCATGAACAATATTTATAAATTTCATCAAAAACGAACCAATTCCATAAAAGAAGGTTTCACTGTAAGTTTTAGTAAATGGTGACAGGATGGTAAAAATAGAGCCCTGTTCAAGTGGCTAAGTTTCTGGACTGGAGTTTAATTAGTCTTGATTGGGGACGAAATGCGGAAGTTCTAGGCTTCAAAGAAAATAAGTTGACATAAATTGATGAAGTTTCCATTTTAAACGGAAATGAGGGTAATGCTGAAGAGCTGAAATATTAACCATATTTCATATAAAACCAAGCAAAGTTTTGAAATACCAACTATAAATCATCATCGAGGGTTATCGGGAAACCTGACCTATCAAACACTAACAGATTAAGAGACACTCCTATCTCCCGCTAAAAAAAATCACACCTCCAAGAGTCAACTGTTGGGTATTTAATGGAATAAACACAAAACTATCTTTTGTTTGTAGCGATTTTCTTTAGTCGGCTTTCACTTTCAAGGTGAAGCCCGGGCCGCCCCCTAAAATGCCAAAGAATCAATGTGCTGGCAAAGAAAGTGAAAATGCCACCGAAAGTAAATATTTACCCATTTTGAAATATTTCGTGACTATTGCCACGATATAATGGATGGTCTAAATATAATTATTTTGAAGTATTGTGCACTTAGGAACACTTTTGGTTGGTGCTAAAACTCGGCCACAGACTGGTTGAGCGTTCAATATCATTTAGTCATTCCGCGGCGTTTTATTTTCGTTCTTAACGATTCGAATGGGTAATTAATAATACAATCAAGCGCCCCCACACAACAATTCGGGAGCTTGACCGAAACTGAAACGCTAAGTCGCGTTTAAAATCAATCTGCTATGCAGCTTTAAGTCCACTGTTAAATCACTGTTAAAGATAACAGCGTCAAAACAAAATTTTAAATATATTTTAATTTATAACAAAACACAGTTTAGTTTATAGATGTCTGGCCTTTCAGATAGTTATTTATAATCAGCTTCTTCAAAAAAATCTGAATCTGAAAACCTTTATCGTCTCCAGCATGCAAATGCAAAAAATATGCAAATTTTTTTGAATTTTGTTACCAACCGCGGGGCGTTTAAAAGAAAGCTGGGCGAAATCGATTAAAGTTAGCCACCGAAAAACATCGATAACATTTATTTGTTGGTGTAGGGGGGGCATTCAAACCATGTTTCAGATTGTATATCTAACCATTTTTATAAGCCGATTTTAAAAAGCATCGCTGTGAGACATTCGTGGCCAACGTTATTTATTTTTATTATTATGACAGTAGGTGTGACACATTCAGAGACACCTTTCCTCAATTGATCTAAAAGATCTTACATGTATATACACTGCGCCCAAAAGTATACTTTACAAAAGTATATTCTTTTGGTCCTTAAAGTTTTCTTCGATAACTAAATAAATAATAAAATAATAATAAAATGATAATAAAAATTAAAATTTGTGGAAACCAAACAATTTTACAAGAAATAGAGTTGAAAATGAACGTTTTTTTATTTTATAGGTATCCCCACAAAAATTGGGGAAAAAATTTATGGGAAATGTTCTTTGTGAATCAATGAGGGTATTCCCCTAAAGACAGGACTTCCCCAAAAAAATTGTTAAGTAAAAACTAATTGGGAATTTAGTTTTTATATTTATTTGTGTTATAAAACAAATCACACAATGACAGACAGTACAAAAATTAGGCTTAATTGTTTCTAGACAGCTTTAATTTACTTGTACATGGTGGAATTTTCGAATGTGCCAGCGTGGCGGCGGTAAAAAATTAAATTATAATGATCGTCTAGTAGTTTAAATTAATACGAGCTCTACAGAAAGGGAAATACTCTCTTCTTGGTGACAGGGTCTAGTATACCGCATCGCGGTAGCTATCCGCAAATTGTCGAATGAGTCCGGGCAGCTCCGGTGCCCTGCAGAGGTACTTGTGGCCGTAACTATGGATGGCACTAAACCGATGAAACTCTACTGGGCCCCAGGCGCGGCTTCGGGTATCTAAGGCAGTTCGATATAGGCGGTACCCAAGCTGGAAAGGTACCACCACATCGTCCTCAGCGTGGATAATCATTATTGGCTGGCGGAACTCCTGAACATGCATATCCGACTCGAATCTTAGTTTGTTGTTGTACATGGGCCTGGAGATTGTAAAGTCAAACCACGGCAGGTTCTTAAACAGACGGGCAAATGGATGTAGAAGGATCTCATCGCGGACATTGGTGAAGGGGCTCTCAAGGATGACTCCACGGGGGCCCCGTTCTTGCAGGTGAGCCAGCTTAGCGCACAGATGCGTTGCCACGCCGGTGCCCAAAGAGTGGCCCCACACGAAGATAGGATTAGAGGTGATATTGGCTATGTACTCAAATACCATCAGAGCATCTCTTACTACTCCCTCTTCCGTTGGCGGTACGGGATCGGAGTCTCCAAAGCCTCTGTAGTCAAAGGTAAATACATGATAATTTAAGTTGCGCAGGAGTTTGTAAACCTCCGAACGATGGCCACTTCCCCGCGAGGCCGTATTACCATGAAGGTATAATACTATAGTGCCACCCGGCATTCGCAGCAAACGCTCGTAGAAAAGCTGCTGATTCTCTGGAAGAACTGCAGGAAATTCTGACCGAATTGCCGTAGCCAGTTCCCTCAGCTGCCGATCGCTTTCTGGGGAGGGCTCATCGGGCGCCACATCCTGCTCTACTTCCTCCTCAACACGCAGTTCGCGTCTGAACCGACGCACTGCGTGGCGGGGCAAAACATGCCATACCCCAAGTTGAACACCATCCTTGTCCGTTTCGTGATCCTTTACGGTGATGTAGAAATTCCGCGTGGCATATAGACCGAGGCTTTCAGGTCTTGTAAGATCCAGACCCTTGGGGTACTTGACTGGAATAAAGATTGTTTTCTATAAAGAGTAGTAGAACTTACTAAATTCTACTTACTGAATGGAAGGAAGAGGATGCCGCGCTGCATCGTTACCGAGTAACGAAAGATCAGGGGCAACAGCACGAAGATCAAAAAGAAGATGACAAGGCATGCTTGCAGAGATCGTAGTCCCACCCTGTGGAGAAGGATGAGCGGTGAGAGAGGTCGATTGGGTTGCAAGGTCGTTACTGCTATGATTATGACAAAAACCAAAATGAAGAGAGATGAGCCAGCGAGTGAATTATGGTAAAGTGATTTATTTACAATCTGGGAGCAAGAAAAGCAGAAACGGAAACGGAACAGAGCCGGCGTATGCTCGCGGATGGAGTCGATGTCACGAACTAAAAGAATTTTAAGGCTTCTGAGAGGATGAAAGTTCTAAAAACGGAAGTTGAACAAGCGCACAACATCGAGATTCGAGCATGGAGATACTTACAGACCAGTTAGCCAACTAAGGACGATCGTTCCGGGAATGACTGTGGCAAAGAAAACGGATCTTAGACAACTATGGAGCTCGTACATTTTGTAATCGTGTTTAGTTTACTTCCGTTTAGCGATAATCGGGGTTTTTTTTTCTAAAGCGAATTAACACTGATTTTGATCAAATTTGTGCGATATATCTCTTATTTTTTGTGCAGAGCTTTCGCGGGGGAGAGACAAAGCAAAGTTCTTTGTTATTAGTAAGTTAAATTTGTTGTTTTAGGGGATTCCCTAGACCTGGGACGCATGCAAAACCGAACACCGGACTTAAGAACTGTTCCTCCACAGAGAGCGACCTTTGCACTAGACCAGGGTTATATGCTGACACGGCGGTTGAGTGAGTGAATGGTTGGATGATTGGGTGACTAAACAACACATATTCAGAAACAATGATTAGGGCGTAGGGTGGCTCGATTATAATCGAGGTTAATAAGAGTATTTAAAAATTACTGAAATATACAACAATAAAAGTAGGTAGTAGTACTAAAGTAGGTAGTACTTTTTAGTCAGTAGGTAGTAATGAATTAACGTTGAAATATTTTAAGAATTTCACTCGAACCACCCAAATGCACAAAGATATTGTATTCGATATCCAATTGATGTTGTAGGGGTATCAAAGATACATAAGCACTACTCGAGCATGACAAATACACCACTGATATCATTAAAACAGGAATTAACCTTCTAAAATTTTAAGTTTTCCTCACGGGTTTTTTGTGGCAGTAGCAGTTCTAGGATGTTAATGAATTTTATGATTTTTAAGAGATTAGCTGGTAGACGTTTAGAGGGGTCTATTTAAATAAACATAAAAATTTGGGTAGTGGTCAGAAGCAGAGGTCAAAAGCAAGCTGCGGAAGCTGATTCGGGTCGGGTCGGTCCAACGGGGTCGGGGTACAAATAAGGGGAAAAGCTAAAACACAGGAATTTCCGGTTGTAATACACATTTTCACACACCTCTTGAGTTGTCGCCGACGCGTGAAGAGCATAACTGCAAGAGCTGCAAAAGATCATAAGGATCGTTAGTAATTCAGACATGCCGGCTTCTTAAGTAAGTGCACAGTGCCCACCACGGAGCAGGCGATAGATACATAGATGGCGAGGAGGAGACACAAATTGCGCCCACCTGCCAGTGTAAATCCGTAGTTTTCCATTGTTATTCTTTTGAAAGCGACTGAATAAAAGCGTTGCGCCTCTAGGCGCAATGATCGCCTGCTCCGTTGCCGGCTTCTGCTCTTAAGGCCAATTAACGCCTAAATTGCCAATTACTTGAACTGTCCGGTGAAATGCAGTCGGGGAAGCAATCTAATCCATCGTCACAGCGCTCTGTTGGGGCGGAAAAAAAGAAATCTTTGAAACGTAAGCTTATTTAGTGGGTGTGGCAGAGGGAGAATTGCGTGATCCTATAAATTGCAGGTCGCAACAAATGAAATCTTTCAAGTAAACACAAAATCGCATGTTTAGTTAATTTCACTCATCACTCGCCTTAATGCCATTTAACCCCTGCCATCTCTTAATTTATGTTTTTGTTTATTTATTCTTTATGTAATTTGTGTTTGAAGAGGATGACAGGACCAAAGCGTTTTACTTGAGTGACTCACCAAACACTTGCCAGCAACAGTCAGCAATATTTCCTCCACCTGTTTGGGCAACAAAACCCCTCAACTTTTTCCCAAAACCCCACTTGTCCTCTTTTTATGAGCAATCAATGCGGATTTCTATTGAATTTGGAATTTTAATACTTTCTGTGTTAACAGCTGTCAGTGTTGTTGACTATCGATAACAATCGGAACCAATAATACACTTGCTATAGAAACCGCCTGTTATCGGTATCGTATGAGGTATCGCACACAAATTAGTTTTTTCACATTGGCGAAGCGGTGCAGCAACAAAAATTGCAATTTAGGAGCAAAATAGAAAATATAAGTATCGGTTCTAGATCGGAGGGCCGCGAGCGGACAGCAGCTTGGAGCGATGAGGAGCGCGGAGGAAATCCGGGCGGAGTACCCACTGCATTGGCACATCTGGCACGGTGAGCTGGAGCAGCTGCAGGCGGCCATCGACCAGGTGAGAGTGGAGGGTGGGTTGGGGTGGGGTGTGGCCCTGCGAAATGGTGCTAATTGAATTAGCGCAGGTTGCGAGGCACGGATGAGGCGATAATACAACCAAAACAAGCTAATAATTCGTCATATTTCAGAATGAGAACGATAAGGAAAAAATCGATCCCCGCGGGCGAACTCCCTTGATGCTGGCCGTCCGAGTAGCAAATTTAGCCTGTGTTAAGTGCCTGTTGACGGCCAAATGCAACGCCACCTACGAGCACGAAGGCTGGTCCAGTAAGTAAACCCCTAACGTACATTGAGACCAACTAAAGCTTTTATACCATTCTTAGTTGTCCAGGAGGCTGTTTGCACGGGTGATGTAGATATTCTTACGGCCATCATCGAGGTTAGAGATCTCCAGCGCCATGTTCAGCGAGTCACGCATGTTCCCAAACTGCTGCAGCACCTGCTGGATGCCCCTGATTTTTATATTGAGATGAAATGGGAGTTTACCTCCTGGGTGCCTCTAATGTCGCGTCTGTGTCCCAGCGACACCTACAAGGTTTACAAGAGAGGAGCCAACGTTAGGATAGACACCACACTCCTGGGCTTTGACAACAATACCTGGCAGCGTGGCAACCGTTCATATATTTTTAAGGGGGCTAGTAAGGCGGAATACAAATTCTTCAACCCTTGTTTATCAGATTGCTAATCTTTCAGAGGAAACTGCCACCATGATTGAAATCGACCACGACACGCACGAAGTGATGGTGGAACAAATGAGCAGCGATATTGGTGACATTGTCGCCATTCCACCTGCCATTGGAACAGTGAGGGCTCGACTGAATGCTCCAGTGATCACCAACAATATTGAGATGGACAAGATCAGCTTTGAGCGGAACAAGAGCGGTATTTGGGGATGGCGTAGCGAGAAATCGGAGGTGATCAATGGTTACAACTGCAAGGTATATGGAGCCAGCAATGTGGAGTTTGTAACCAAGACTAGGATGGATCACCTAAGCGAGGAGCAGATCAAGGTAAGGCGTATACAGTGATTTGGCCAATAATAATATAAAATGTATTTTTAGAACAAGACGGCGAGGACACCCCTGCATAGTCTACTAGGAATAGCTGATGAGGATTATATACCTCCCGCCGATGCTACCGCTGCCCTTAAAGATCGCGTGGGTTACAGAATTTGTTATCAATGGATTAGTCCTGTATCACGAATTTAATTACAATTATAGACACCGTCGCCTCGATTGGAAGATGGTTCCCCAACCGGAACTGAAAACGGCGGCAGCTCCACTCCCTCAGGAACTCAAAACAACTCCAACTCTGCCTGCGCTTCCGGTACAAGTACTCCCAAATCTTCCGTTACCCCCGAGGAGTATTTCACTCCGGAGGTGGATCTCCAGGGACGCGATGTGGGCGGTCCCAAAAATCTGAGCACAAAGGTTCAGCGGTTCAAGGCCAATCTTTGGTTAGCCGAAGAGCATCCGATACGGCTCCAGGAGCAGGTTCTGCCCATCCTGGACCTCATGTCCACCATGGCTAGTCCTCATGTTTCCAAACTACGGGACTTCATTACTATGCAGCTTCCGGCTGGGTTCCCAGTAAAGGTGGAAATCCCGCTCTTCCACGTCCTCAACGCCTGCATTACATTTGGCAATGTTTTTGCCCTTACCACTCCCGTGGAGCACGTAGCAACTTTGCAAGAACCTGACCGGGTAACGTGTTTGGTGGACGATCGATGTTTTGACATTCCGGTTAGCTACACGAATCGGGGAACCGATTACCGACGACAAATCCCACTTGACGAGGACGACATGCTTCAGTACGCTATTGAACAGAGTTTGGTAGAGCCCAGAGGAGGTGGCGGCGCCAGTGGCGTGGACGCCCGTGATGACGATAAAGTGGACATCTGGGAGGTGCTGAGAGGCCAGAACGTCGTGGGATCGGATCTTCTGCCAGAAGATGATGAGCAACTGCAGCGGTAAGTGACGGGGACTGTGATTGATTTTAAAATGTACTTTGGATCGTTTCTTAAAATGTAACTCCATTGCCACTGCTAGTCCCCGCTGCTTTTCCTCCCACAACTACCTCTCTCCACATCGCCAGCAATACGGGCGTTATTCCCCTTCTCCCAAGCACCATCCCCAATCCTTTCCCCACAACCAGCTTCAGCTGGAGCCAGAAACACGTGGACGTTCCGCTTCGGCTGGGGCGCAGTTCAAAAACGACATGAGCTACATGAAAAAGATCTTCAAGTAGCATAGTCCCAATGTTTCCTATTTGCTTGTAATGCTAGTTTTCACCCAAGCTTTGTGTGTTTTGTGCTTTTTCCTTAAATCGTTTCAGAGTACTTCAGGAGTCGTTAATGGGCGTTCATGGGAATCCCCAAAGTGGTTCTCCAGCCTCCGAGGACGACGACGATGGTGGCTTCCGGTATATGGACCCCGATTTGGCCATGGCCATGAGACTGTCACAGCAGGACCAAAGGAAATACGAGTTGGAGCGGCAACAGGAACAGGAAATGATTGATCAAGCGCTTAAGCTGAGCCTGCAGGAGCACTAATGTCCTACCGGAAATTCCAAATTAAAGTTCTACTTCTAATTTCGAGTGTATACAATCGGACTAATTTGTATAAATATTACGAGTACTTTAAGTTAACTTTTGTATCCTGGCAAATGTATTGAATTGTGATACAAGCGCAAGATTTTCCCATCTTTATATAAAGTGTATCCAAAGCAGCCCTCAAGTAGCAGTGTAGCTTTTGCAAGTGCATCTAGTTTGTGGTGGACACCACTCTAATTTTAGTGTCGTGTGGTGACGGCAGCACATGTCGCATATCTGCCGAAAACATTCTTTGGCGTCAAGGTCGTTAATCGCACGTGTATGTGTCTTTAATCCTGTACCGACTTATAAGCATTCCATAAAAATTATACTTATAAATATACAAGATAAGCGTGGTCTAAACTAGATTGTGGACGTCTATATTGTCAATGTTCAGCGTTCGACTGAGAACAGGGACGGGGCTCATTGCAGGAATAGGCGTTTGGACGCTTCTCCGACAAATCCTTAAAATTCTCTACCCCGGAATTTATTGTTTTCTAAAGCTTATATCCTTATATAGTTTTTTTCATTTTCGAATTTTTTCCAAGGGGTTCCCCTACAATTTTGTGGGTTTTCCCAATTTCCACACTTCTGCTCCTTCTGATGGCCATAGCTCTGCCAATTCGTATCCGATCAGGAAATAAAGTACCATTTAGTAATCAGCGAACCCAAGTGCGACTTTCCTCATTCAAAACATTGCTTAAATATAGTTTTCAAATTTTTCGAATTTTTTCCAAGGGGTTCCCCTACAATTTTGTGGGTTTTCCCAATTTCCACACTTTTGCTCCTTCTGATGGCCATAGCTCTGCAAATTCGTATCCGATCAGGAAATAAAGTACCATTTAGTAATCAGCGAACCCAAAAGCGACTTTCCTCATTCAAAACATTGCTTAAATATAGTTTTCAAATTTTTCGAATTTTTTCCAAGGGGTTCCCCTACAATTTTGTGGGTTTTCCAAATGTATACACTTTTGCTCCTTCTGATGGCCACAGCTCTGCCAATTCGTATCCGATCAGGAAATAAAGTAGCATTTAGTAATCAGCGAACCCAAAAGCGACATTCCTCATTCAAAACATTGCTTAAATATAGTTTTCAAATTTTTCGAATTTTTTCCAAGGGGTTCCCCTACAATTTTGTGTGTTTTCCCAATTTCCACACTTTTGCTCCTTCTGATGGCCATAGCTCTGCCAATCTTCATCCGATCGGGAAATAAAGTACCATTTAGTAATCAGCGAACCCAAGTGCGACTTTCCTCATTCAAAACATTGCTTAAATATAGTTTTCAAATTTTTCGAATTTTTTCCAAGGGGTTCCCCTACAATTTTGTGGGTTTTCCAAATGTATACACTTTTGCTCCTTCTGATGGCCATAGCTCTGCCAATCTTCATCCGATCGGGAAATAAAGTACCATTTAGTAATCAGCGAACCCAAAAGCGACTTTCCTCATTGAAAACATTGCTTAAATATAGTTTTCAAATTTTTCGAATTTTTTCCAAGGGGTTCCCCTACAATTTTGTGTGTTTTCCCAATTTCCACACTTTTGCTCCTTCTGATGGCCATAGCTCTGCCAATCTTCATCCGATCGGGAAATAAAGTACCATTTAGTAATCAGCGAACCCAAGTGCGACTTTCCTCATTCAAAACATTGCTTAAATATAGTTTTCAAATTTTTCGAATTTTTTCCAAGGGGTTCCCCTACAATTTTGTGTGTTTTCCCAATTTCCACACTTTTGCTCCTTCTGATGGCCATAGCTCTGCCAATTCGTATCCGATCAGGAAATAAAGTAGCATTTAGTAATCAGCGAACCCAAAAGCGACTTTCCTCATTCAAAACACTGCTTAAATATAGCTTTCAAATTTTTCGAATTTTTTCCAAGGGGTTCGCCTACAATTTTGTGGGTTTTCAAAATTTATACACTTTAGCTCATTCTGATGGCCATAGCTCTGCCAATTCGTATCCGATCAGGAAATAAAGTACCATTTAGTAATCAGCGAACCCAAAAGCGACTTTCCTCATTCAGAACATTTCTTAAACACAGTTTTCAAATTTTTCCAAGGGGTGCCCCCCTGGGTTTTCCCCTTTGGATAGCCATTGGTGGGTTCTCCCTTTGGTTGGCCATGTCTCTGCCAATTTATATCCAAACATGAAACAGCGTACCACCTTGTGTGCAGTGCTTCAAGTCCCACATTCCCCTCCCAACAGAACTATCATAATTACTATTTTTTTTCCATAAAATGTATAGACATATAAATAAATAAATAAACGATTTTACATTTACCAATAACATTTATTATTTACAGCTGAAGTCGCTACTCTTGCAGACCGCTTTCAAATGACAAAATGCATTAGATTTCGAAAAGTTTGTGATTTGGCGGTGCTGAGTTTTTTGTGAGAGCAGTCTAACAATAATGATACATTACACAATAAAAAAGGCATCGTTGATTTGCACTACACAAATATTATTGTATTTTATCGTAATATTAGTAAAATCACAGTGAAATATTACTGCACGCCGTAGAGTTAAAAATGTAGTTCTGTGCCTCCAGAATGTGCATTTCAGTTATACAAATAGCAACTAACAAGATGATATACCCGCTATATCTGATCGCGCGCAGGAAGTCCCACAGTTTGTCGCAGAATATGCTCAGGAGTACACAGTGGAGCAACGCGTGAACGTTGACGATGCGCCACATCCAGGCCACGCAGAAAAACCAGCTGGACTTGAAGACGTAGTCCTGGCAGTGCGATTGCCCTGTGCTAACATCTTCGCGCTCCAACATGTTTTGGTAGACGGCAATGTAGCGATTCCACGCCGTCGAGCTGAGCAGCAGTTGTCCCGTGAAGCTGATCACGTTCTTTGCTACTTTGCGTGTGGTGGCCTTCATCTTAGGGATCATCGTTGGCTCCGGAACCTTGGAGTCGCTCATCGGGATAATAGAGTAGCCTCTTCTGGGGGGATTGTTCTTAAGGTAAAAAAATATACCAAGCAGCAGGGCTATGCACCCCAGTCCGTCGCACAAGCCGTCTACATAGTATCCCGATGTACCGATCTCGGAGCGTTCACCGCGGATGTGCTTCCGGACACGAGCCACATGTCCATCTAAGTCATCCAGGAAGGTGCGTATCTGGAACAGGAGCACTCCCAGTCTGCGGTAGCCGAGACTATCCGAGGCCACCAATTTTCCCGCCAGACAAGCCACGCCCACGTGAAAGAACGATATCATGTTGGGTGTGATGAAGGTGGAGCGCGAAAACCCGATCACATTGTCGAATATCGTGGCCAGTGGAGCGAAGAGATAGTGATTGGTGTGGTCCAAAAGAATTGCTTTGACCGTGACATGACAGAGGGGATTAATATCACAGGATATCCAGGTGTGATCCTCGTAGGACGGCTGCTTCTCGGCGGTGGGTAGTTTCGTGCTGCTGCCAGATTCCGACGTCGACTGGGAGCTTACGGAGCTTGTAGAGACATTGGTGTGGTAGTTTCGTTCGATAATATAATTATGGATTCGCAGATAGAGTTCCACGTCCATAAAAATGTAGAATATGATCAGCAGGAACAGCAGCGTTAGCAGGATCTTGCTGATCTGTGAACTGGGTCCAATCATGTTTGATACTTTGAGGTAGCGTTTAACTCTAAATTCTTAACGAAGCGATTTCACGAAACAACTGAAATGACGAAAGAGTGGAATCGTATTAGAATATTTGTTTATGTTCAACGCCCCACCAGTCCAGCAAGTGACTCAATTTTCCCATACATACTATACTATCAGGCCACCCCCGACTATCCTAGTGCTATCTGCAGGTATTTACGGAAGCTTTTAGCATGCCCCTCAGAATTAAACTTGCTATTAGTAACCTTTTAACTGCCAATGACGATTAACAGGCTTCTATAGATAGTGTGGTGGTGTGGAGCACGCACCGAATAAATCACACACCTATGTATATCTGTATATACACCTGCGTTGGTATTGAGTATATGTATGTATGTGATTGATAACTGAGCATATGCTGGTATTATTAACAAATTAAAAGAGTCACAATGACCAATTGGACTCGATATGGGGGCAATTGGGGTTTACGAGCTGCACTCACCGCCTTGCTGAATCATTACGAATATACTGTATCAAAACATTGTCAACATTCTGTTTATAACTATTGGATTATAAATATATTGTTCGCGCGCTGTGTGGGGTATTCAATATTTCGCAAAACTCTTCTTATATATACATATAGTTAACAACAACACATATATATTTATAATTGGTACACATAGGAGATGGTAAATATTTATAGTTTCTATTTTTTCGTAATTTCGTAAATTTTAACTTTGCCGAACAGTGTGGCCGTGCGTGCGCTGGAGTTAAAATACCTCTTATCGATTCGCAGAAGTAACACGCAATCGATGGTTGCACTTTTGAAGTTTCAAAATATCCCAAGAATTTTATTTATATCATATTTAATTATTCTTATATTCTTAAGGTATTTGTCTTTTTAAAAGACATTTAAGAACCTGTCACTAGATTCTTAAAAAGCCAGTGGTCAGTCATATAAGTTATCGAAATCTCTGTCTATGTTTAGTGTCATCGCTAATATAGTTGTTTAAGAACAATTTGATTTAAATTATTATAATACATTTATTATATTTATAAGAACATGATCAGACACGCGTTGAGAACAGTTGCTCTGCAGAGCCGCAGTCTGATCCGGCCAAGTATTTCAGAGGTCCGCCAGCTTCACTCATTTCCCGCAAAATTCAGCAAAGCTTACGACCACGATGGAAAAACAAAAGTTTCCATTTTCAATACGGAAACCGACCTGGGTCTAATGATAACAGGATACAGCCAATATGGATTCAGGCTTAACAACGACATGGTCCTAATTGGTCCAATAAGCGTATTTCCCAGGTAGGTGCCCCTACCTGAAAAATATGGCCTACTTATGTAAACACAAGCATGCAGTGTAATGCATTGATACAAAATATTTATCCTTTAGGTCTGTCCTATCGTGGAATGTGAACAGTTTCGAGGACATCAACGAGGAGAGTCTCAGCTTGTTTCCTACTCTAGAGCCAAAAATAGACGTGCTGATCATTGGTATTGGAGACCAAAGTCCTCCACCATCTCTTTCCAAAAGGATCGTGGAATTTATGAAGAAATATAAGATAAACGTTGAAGTTCTTCGCACCGAGCAGGTAGAGATTCCCTGACTTAATTTTCAATTACCGCCAGCTTAACACGAACTAATTTTCAGGCTTGTGCAACATTCAACTTTCTTAACGCGGAGAACCGTATGGTGGCGTGCGCGTTGATTCCTCCACTCCACGTCTCCTACAACGAGAACGACATACTCCAAGCAAAGTTGAAAAAGAAAGAGCTTTATGAAACGGACTAAGTGGAACTTATGCTTGTCTTGCTGGCGCTGTGACCTGTTTAGGAGTTAAACAAATTGTAAATTCAGATTTTTTTATTCAGAGATACGTATTTTAAAATGTATAAAAGCTAGGCAATCTCGCAGTTGAACTGCACTCTTTTTTTTCCATCTTCGTTTCCAATTCTATTTCGATTTCAGTCGGCGGTAGCGCCAGGATAGCGCTCAAGAAGCATGGCAACGCCTTGGCCGCCAGCCGCACAGGCAGCAACCACACCCAATTTGCCATCCTCCCGAACCAGGCGGTTGGCTGTGTGCATGCACAGACGAACACCAGTGGCGGCGAAGGGGTGGCCGATCGACAGCGAGCCTCCCCAGTTGTTCCACTTGGACAGATCGGGGCTGCCTACTTTTTCGTTCAGGCCCATGTAGGTCTTGCAGAACCAGTCGGAGTCCAGAGCCTTCAAGTTGGCCACGATTTGACCAGCGAAAGCCTCGTGGATCTCCCATGAATCGATGTCCTTAAGTGTGAGTCCGGCCTTCTTGAGAAGCTTCGGAATTCCGTAAGCAGGTCCTAATAAAAGCTGGTTGACTGGATCCTGGGAAACATAGAGGAAGTCGCGCAGATAAGCCTTCGGCTTAAGGCCCAGCTGCTTAGCTTTCTCTTCCGTCATGATTAAGCAAGCAGAAGCACCGTCTGTGAGGAAAGAGGCATTGGCCGCAGTCACGGTTCCATAGGGCTTTACAAAGGCAGGCCTTAGCTTGGCCAGGCTCTCGGGGCTCGAGACTCGAATACCATTGTCCTTGTCAACCACTTGATCCACTCCAGACACTTTGAACGGCACCAGATCTGTAAAGTAGCCCTTTTGTTGGGCTTCCTTGGCGAGAGTGTGGGACCTAAGGGCATACTCATCCTGTTCGGCACGAGACACATTAAAAGCAGAGGCCAGACGATCCGCAGAATGTCCCATTGTCTCTCCGGAGGAGAATTCAGCTACGGCAGGGAGCTCGGGAGCCAGGAATCCTGGTCTGAATGTTGACAGCAGGGACAGACGTTGTCCAAGGGTCTTGGCCTTGTTAGCTTTAAGCATAAGGGATCGCATCTTTCGTGAATGACGGATGGGAACATCGGACATGAACTCTACACCTCCAGCCACTATCACGTCGTATGTGTTGGTGGCAATCAGTCCCATGCCGGTTGTTATCGCCTAGGAATGTATTAGTTTTTTAGTTATGGCGCAAAATAGGAATTTGGGTTTAAATTACCGCGTTGGAACTGATGCAGGCCATTGTGACGGTGTGAGCGGGTGTCTTGTCACTAAAACCAGCCGCCAGAGCAGCCTCGCGGGCTATGTTGGAGGTTTTCACCTCTTGGATAACTGTGCCGTACACAATATAGTCAATGAGTTCTTTATCCAGACGATTCTTTTGCAACAAAGACCTATTTGTAGAAAGTTAACTTTAAAAAATCAAAATATTTTAAAATTCAGCAAACAAAAACCTACAAAAGCGAGTGCCTGGCCAGCTCATGGGGCATCAGCTTGGAATATGTTGTCCCGGAGGTGAGAAAAGGTGTACGAACACCATCTACCAAAACTATATTCTGGCTGTTTCTCTGCTGCTTGGGCTGTGGAGCAGCCACGGCGGCTGACAAAGATCGGCATTGAACTGAAAAACAGTTAAAATCAAAACATATTTGTACAAAATTTTATTTTTAAGTGTGATGTACTTCGTATCAGGTCCCCCCTATCTCTTGTTCGCAAACCTTCGCAGACGTCACTGCGAATTTCGAGTTTGGACTTTGGCCCTTGAGATTCAATCGGCTGCTGATGCCACAACATTTATGAAGGCAAAGTCCAACCGGCATACCGTTATTCAGGCTTAAACTATTATTTAAAAAAAGAAGAAAAACTCACCATTTCTGGATACGTTCAACAGGTTAAAGGCATTTCCTTTGCCGCAAACATTTCGGAGGCTCATTTTGCGAAAGTTTTGTGGTTTCTCGGAGCTTGTTGCGTTTGATTGCAGCTGTTGTGGGTGATAGTGAGGAGTGCCGGATCGCGGTTTGCTATCGATAATTAAGCATGGCGGCCTATCGCAAAGCTTTCATACAACTTTTGAAAGCCGAGGATGGAATACTCTCCCAAAGAAGGCTTTCTATACAAATCGGTAAATATAAGAAAAAAATGGTTGTCAAAAGTAAGAACCATCGGAGTACCAACGTCTATGCGAAAGGATCATTCAAGCTATGCAAGAGATTTCTCCAATATCCTTGAACCATGCTGGGCCTGATTATCCTATTAAATGTTCTGTTTACGATGCCCGTACGTCCGTCTATTTGTCACTTTGTAAATGAGCCGCTACCCTTTCCCATAATGAAGGGTAATTAACCTTGTCCTTGAACTGCAGTGTAAATAATTGGTGCAGCAGTTAAAGAATCAGTGTATGCAAATGGGCGCAGATACCTGAAAAGAGATGGCAATTGGCAAATATAAATATATATAGAATTAAGATACATTGAAGCCTAAATAAAAACATTCAGATCTGAAAAACAAAAAGTTTATTATAATATTCAAATTCTACGGCTTGTGAGTGGGTGATTTTATTACCATCTGACGAAAAAAGGCTCAAGGACACTACATCCCTAAAATGGTTAAAGAAAGGGTATGCAAAGTAGGCCAGCGGCGTGTGCATCCTAAATGACGATCGTTAAAGGATAACAATGGAAGAAAACAAAGAATAGATGTAGACTTATTGGTGATCAAGGACATTGGTGAAACCTTTCTATTTTAGAATGTCGAAATCCTGTACATGTGTTTTCAGTTCTTAAAGTAGTGTTCTATTTCGCAGGTCGCTGCATTTATGCAGTTCATATTATAATATCTAAAAAAAAAATCTATAAACTACATAATATGTAAATTTTAAGTTTAAAATCTTTAAATCAAATAGTTAAAACTAGAAACTGAGATAAGAAATGTTAAATTTAGATGAAATAGATGTATGATTAAAGTTTTTTTTTATAGGTTGTGTTTTGGCGCCAAACGCTTAGTTTCATAAAATGGCGGTGTGTGTTGGCAGCTAAGCTTCTTTGCTCAAATTTCAAACTTGTTTGTGAATTTTTCTCGTAATTTATGTTTCTAAATCGAGTATTAGTTTCTACAAAAACATTTTATATGTTGTGCTTAATCACTGACCTTTTCTCTCAGTTACAAATAGGGCGTGCTTTTATGAGCCATTAAATCCGAATCGGTAAGAATATGGCGGCAAAAGCACGATCATGACAAACAGCTGACGAAACTTATTTTGGCCACACTTTTTCGAAAGAGATCCGCAGCACGGGCCACACTAATTTGTACAGTGAAACCTCACCGAAGATCAGTGCGCACCATGGGCCAACAGCCATTCCACCACCAATCGAAAAAAATCGTTCAGAGAAGACAGACGTTTGAACGGATGATCCGTGCGCGCGTAAATTGAAAGTGGAAACAAGCAAGAGAGAGCAACGGATCCGATCTCTCACTCTCGTGCTGGTGCTCGCGATCGCGCTCGCGCCAGAAAAAGTTTTACCAATCAAGTTTTTTATTTCGCAATAAAACAAAAACAAAAAAACAAAACTTCAACCTAGTTAAAGTTAATGTTGCTGTTGTAGTGAACTTTTGTGCTGTGCATGTGCATGGAAATTGGTATTCGGTGTTGGTAGTTGTGGAACTGTATGTGTTCGTTGGATGGTTTCTTTCGTTGCGTCGCAGAGGAAGAAGAAAAGTCGCGTAGTGGAACCAGGAAAGCCCCCCCTCAAAAAAAAATAAAAGAAATTATATTTCCCATCGAAAGTTGCAAAATATCCGAATCCGAAAGTGTATCAAATATGATCAACAGAAACCTTTACATTCCGAAAGCCAAGTGAATGTTGAAATCGAAAGTTGTGGGTGGTGACCAGACCAGACCAGACCAGATCAGTATGAATATAACCAATAGAAAGGATTAGAACGTGACTAATACAACAATCCGTGTAGAGATCGTGAAAGTGTTTACCCACAGATCTGCTTGGATCTTCCCCACCCACCCACGAAATTCGTTTTGGATTAACTAACTGCTGAAAACAAACTTAATGAAAGAGGTAAGATTCAAGACTGGCTTTTCCCAAAAGATTATATCGCGGAGCTTAGTTTTCGTAGTAGCTGGCATTGCAACATCAGCCAGCGAAACACGAAAACCTGCAGATAAAGATGTGAGCTGTTACTTGAAGTTGGTTGGGCTCTTGTTTTTTTTTATTTTGTATTATTTTTGTTGCTAGTTTTTTTTTAAGTCTTTGTTGTTGTTGTTGGTTTTGAGTTGTACGTGTGTCTCTTTGTGCACCTAAGCACACAAAGCATCCAAGGTCAGAAACTAACTTAATAGTGGTAGAGAAAACAGAAAACTGAAAACATTCCAAGCTCGGATCGCGAAGCTTCGGTGTTCGTGCGATCCAATCTTCGTCGTGTTGATCATCATTAGCACTACCAGCAGCAGCAACAACAATCAAAACAGCAGAAACACCAACAACAACAGCAACAGCAGCGTAACGAGCGCCCAGCTAAAAGACAAGAAAGGCTTAGTGACCTTCATCGAGTGCTTTTGTCAGCGTCTGCGTAATGTGCGTATATATGTATGTATGTCTGTATGCATGTCATGAAATTTGAAGACACAGACAGACACACGCACCGATGTCCAATGCGACCAACTTAACTGCTTTCCAATAAGAGTGAAGGTGAAAAAAGCACACCTCTACAAAGCATACAACAAGCACGCACACAATGCCATCTACATACAACCTCACGGTTACAGGGCGATCGCGCAGATGTTACAAAATATGCTGTTCGTATGTCGGGTTTTTTTTTTTATTTTTTCCGTTTCCATGTAGCTTAATGTGTGCCATTACATAGTATGTATGTATGTAATATGTAGCGAAAGCTTTGATTTTTAATTTAATTGATATTCTATAAAAGGGAAAATACTAACAGTTGAGAGAAAGGGAGAAACGATCGTACAGTGCATTCTTCAGCGCACAACAACAACTGTTATCCGTATCTTTTGCAGCGTATCGTATCGTATCGTATCGCTTAGCTTATACGTTATGTAATTCAAATTTGGGTCACTTTTACGAGTGTAGCATTTACAACAAGTACAATGGCGACGGCGACTGCTGCTGCTGACTGCCTGACTCTTTGCCATTTTCCTCTGTGCTTCTTTTGCCAAGGGAGCTTTCGTGAAAGGGGAAAGAGAGCGACCGGGAGGGGGGGTGCTAAGAGAGGGGGGGGTGGTGTTTTAAAAACGAGTTTTTACCTTTTTACCTTTTGCGAGTTGTGAGCTGGTTGGTTGCTGGTTGGTGGGACTTTCAAAACCGTGTTGCCCGTTTATTTATTCGCTTTCTCTTTTGAGGCCTTCGATCTGATGAGTTGCCCCGTTCCCGTTCTCTTCCACTTTGGAAATAGACATGTGCTTTATATTCGTAAACATGTCAAGCAAACACTCACGCAATCTGCACACACCCACACATCCATACCACCATCGAGGGAAAGAGTAATTGTAAACTACACTTACATTACATCGAAACGATGACGACGACAAAAATCCGAAAGTATAGAGTGCCACAAAGCATACATACATACATACATACATATGCGATTGCGTTCTCTGTCCGTTTGTATGTTTCAATCTACAATATGTATGTCGATATGATTTTGGTTTTGTTTAGCTTTTTGCTGTTGCTGTTGCCTTATACCCCGATCTTACAAATAAACATACATACATACATACCATACCGTACTGTACATACACAAGCATAGAGAGAAAAGCTTTTTGTGAAAGGTGATTTTTATGCGCGCATTGTGAGTTAGCGCGTTTTGTTTTGTCTCGCTTCTACTCTCGATCGTTTCCTCTTCTGCTTTGTCCCTTTCATTCTCATTTCCAGTTGGATCTATATGTCTGTCTGTCCGTATATGTGTATAGCGAAGAGAGGAGAAATGTTGAAATGCGAACAGCTCGCTATATCCCTTTCGTCCGTCATATGTTCAATTAAAATTCATTCCAGTCCCCCAGCAGCATTTTTCCAGTTAAAGCTAGAGATCAGTGTGAGCCCTCCTCCGTTCAGAATGAACTTTCACCTTTTTTAATATGGATACACTGGTTATGGTTTTTGGCTCTGTTGCGTACCTGTACGTTTTACTGTTGCGAAATCTGGAAAGCCCTGTTGGAAAGTGAACGGCCATGGAAGCATAAACTAGTCAGATTTTGAAAGCATTCCCATCGTTAGAACCTGAGCCCCCACCTCCCCCCCTCTCGCGAAACGATCTAGCCTCTTTTCAGCTTTCGCTTCCCATGAAAACAACAAAAACAAAAAAAAAAAAAAAAAAAAAAAAGCATTCCCATTCTCTTGATCTCCGCCAAGCCAGTCATTCAAGTTTTATTGAAAGTGAACGTTTCGTCTCCACGCCAGCGAGAGGGGGGCATGGCGGTGGCGAGGAGACGAAAGATGGGGACGCAGCAGAGCGTAACAAAAAGCAAGACTATCTTTCTGAAGTTTTTTTTTTTTTTTTTTTGAGATCTGCTGCTGCTGCTGAACTTTTAGCTTCGCTTTTGGTTTAAAATTTTTTTTTTGTGGGGCCATGCAGACTGGCACTCACACACACAAAGGCACAAACAAAAAAAAAGAGCTTACAAGCCATGCTCTTGCACAATACAATAATGGTGGTCCCCCCCCCAAATACACCAATACACCAACACTTCCACGAACTGCACTGTGGAGCCAAACACACATACACACATGAACAAAACTTTGGGGGCTTACACCGATACAATCGCACAGGCCAGCGAATTTCTGTGTAACAATTTCATCGCATCGCGCCAAACTCGAATCCAAGCAAAGGCGGCAATAGCAACAACACCAACGCAGTGGGAAAGCTTTTTTGAGGCAGCTACCAGCTACCAGCAACAACAACAATAGCATAGTGGAGCGTTTCTTTGGCAACTGCTCTATGGAAGTTAAGCTTTCATCTTTTCCAACAATGACGACTGTGGGCTGCACTGGTGGGTATTACAAAAACACCAAGTACAGACAAAAACCTAAAAACCTGATTAGTAAACATTTACTATTGCTTTATGTGCAGTTTGTTAATGCCAGCAACAGTACATACTTACATACATGCATATGCTGAAATTCCAGTTTCCATGGGGAGCATACGATTCCGTTATGGAAAGCACTTTCGAATGGCGATCCTTTTTCTAACACAATAGACTGTGTAGGTGTTTGTATGGCTGCAACTGTATGCGTGCATGACACAATCGCTGGAAAGAGAAAGACTGAGACGGTCTGGGGGCCTGACGGAGGAGACACTTTCGGTGAAAGGCAGATTGTGTAATACCACTAACCATACAGCATATAGACAACCCATTTCATACAACGAAAATGGACGCGAAAATTTCTTGCGACAGGCCCCAGCAGGCCCCAGAGCGGATTTCTTACGCTCTCTTACGCTCATCGTTCGTTCATCTTACGCTCATTCTCGCAATAAATGTTTTCTGTTTCTCAGTCTCTAAACGGAGCGCGATGAAGAAGGTTGGCCTGCGCTTCGGTTGATCTTTGTATGTATGCGTGTCACACATTCACATACATGGGTGTATGTGTGCGTGCGATTTCGTTTCGAAGCCAGCGCACAAAATTTTGATTTTTCTTACTTTTAAGGCTTGCTACCCTAACAAAATTCGGGTATTCGTTATTTGATGAAATGACGAAAGAAATTATATTATTTTTTATTTTATTTTTTTTTATTATTTCAGCATACATTTTTAATTTATTTAGGAATAAGATTAAGTGTTAGTAGTAAAATGTTTTCTGTATATATATTTTTACGAATCATTAAAAATCAATATACTGAGAAAGTGTCAGAGTATATTTCGGTCGGAGTCACTTAAAGCGCCGATTGCTTTTAAGTTTTTGTTGTTCTGCAAGAGGCTTGTGCATGCCTACTCTAACGATGGAATGATTTTTAGGGGAGGGTGAAGACACGAAAACAGCTGATGGACTTGTTTACCTTTTTTGTTTACAATTTTTCAGGCACTTGTTATTATATTTTGGGTTATTGTGAGATTTAATTAAATTATTGTCGTTAATTTAATAATTTCCTTATATATATTTCCTTATATATAATAACTTTAAAAAGTAATTTAATTCTTCACCCGTCTTCACCCTCCCCTAAAAATCATTCCATCGTTAGAGTAGGCATGCACAAGCCTCTTGCAGAACAACAAAAACTTAAAAGCAATCGGCGCTTTAAGTGACTCCGACCGAAATATACTCTGACACTTTCTCAGTATATTGATTTTTAATGATTCGTAAAAATATATATACAGAAAACATTTTACTACTAACACTTAATCTTATTCCTAAATAAATTAAAAATGTATGCTGAAATAATAAAAAAAAATAAAATAAAAAATAATATAATTTCTTTCGTCATTTCATCAAATAACGAATACCCGAATTTTGTTAGGGTAGCAAGCCTTAAAAGTAAGAAAAATCAAAATTTTGTGCGCTGGCTTCGAAACGAAATCGCACGCACACATACACCCATGTATGTGAATGTGTGACACGCATACATACAAAGATCAACCGAAGCGCAGGCCAACCTTCTTCATCGCGCTCCGTTTAGAGACTGAGAAACAGAAAACATTTAATGCGAGAATGAGCGTAAGATGAACGAACGATGAGCGTAAGAGAGCGTAAGAAATCCGCTCTGGGGCCTGCTGGGGCCTGTAGCAAGAAATTTTCGCGTCCATTTTCGTTGTATGAAATGGGTTGTCTATATGCTGTATGGTTAGTGGTAATACTTACTGGCCAAAGTAACTGAGAAACAGAGACAGATGCAGACATTTTCCATTCGGAAACTTTCTATTTGGCTGACTTGACTTTTACTGCAAGCATGCCCCACATGATTATTATATAGAAATTATTTTCATTTCAACTTCTACAGATCTCACATCGTCTTGAAACAAGTCTTGAATATTTTAAGCTTAAAAATCGTTAATTTTATGGAAGAAAGAACTCTTTAAATTCTTCTGTCTTTTGGGGTAAGAATCTACAGATTCTTTTCTACATTATATACCGATCGGTGCAGTATTATCATATAGCTTTGCTTGTAATTTGATATTCATGATCTGCCCCAAAGCTATTGCTAGAAAATCTTACGAATCTCGGCATATTTGCTCTTCCATTTGCAGTTTCAAAGAATGTTGATGTTGCAATATAGCAAGCATGGCGAGTGCATACTCAAAGAAATCGGAGCAGCCTTCAGAGGGGAGCACCCAGCAGACCTGACCATAGTCTGCGAGAACAAAGTGAAGCTGCATGCCCATAAACTGGTCCTGGCAGCAGCCAGTCCTCTCATCAGGTAAATACTTTACAAAAAAAGATCCTAATCTTAACGATTAATGTATTACTTTCTTTGGAAGGACCCTCCTGGAGGACACCCACTTGAGCGACTGCTCTACCACCGTTTACTTTCCCGATGTGAATGCAACCTATTTTAAATTCCTGCTGGACTTTCTGTACTCCGGCCAGACTTGCATCACATCCAGGGATGTGAACTATTTACACGATCTGCTGTTGCTGCTGCAAATCAAGTCAGACAGCTGGAAGACCACCGACTCTGCCTATCTGAACAGCAAGTGCGGCAGCCTGCGGGAGCGAGCGGACAGGCGGAAGCAGCAGTTCGCCTCCCCCCAAAATCTGGAGCCCGATCAGACGCTAAAGTATGAGGTGGACAGCGTTGATGAGTCGCGTCATGCGGCCGATTTCTCAGTTGCCTACAACTCGGGGGATAACTGCGAGAGCGCCACCGAGTGCGACCGTAGTGGTGGCATTCACAAGGACGAGGACGATGACGACTGCACCCACAAGGACAACAAAAGCGACAAAGACACCGATGAAATTGTAAATCTCTCGAATGCCCCACCAAGCGGAACTAGCGGTAGCAACAGCAACATCAGTAGCAGCAGCAACCACCACCACCAGCACCACCACCACAACAACAACAACAATAACAATAATAACAGCAGTTCAGCTATAAATCCCGTCAACCTATCACTTGACCTTCGGACGAAAAGCGAGAACTCCACAAGCCGAACCCATGGATCCGGATCAGACCACAGTGGCATCGATCTGGCGGTGAACGCCAGCGAGAGCACAAAACGCAAAGGACTATTCTTCGACTCACACAAGGACGTAATGAAACCATTATCCGATGGCTCCGACATTAACAGCTCGCCGGAAAACTATGTCGTTACACCGCATCGAAAGCGACGGCCGGGATTCCATAACACACAGAGTGACAACCAACCGTTCACCTCGTACCAGCACAATTTCCTCGAGGAGCTCCGTCTGGTCAAGTCAACGACATCGCCCATCTCCGGCTTCGGCTCGGAGAAGAACATGTTATCCCACCTGGAGGACGGAGCTCTAAACGGAGACACTCTGACGCCGGACCGAAAACAGCTATTGGAGGCGCAACGGAATCGCGCCCAGAGCCCAGAGATGCCCATGCATCTGGGGCCGCAGTTTGTCTATCAGTGGCAATCGAATCAGAATGCCGCCATGTCCGCAATGCCCAATCTGCAGTCGCGACTCTCTAGTCTGTCGCACATTAGCCTGAACCTTGACCATCCGGAGGGCAGAAGTGGTTCCGCTTCCGGTTCGGGATCAGGATCAAACCTTGCCGGCAGCAACACACACGCCTCGTCGGTGCGAGAGTACCGCTGCGAGTACTGTGGCAAGCAATTCGGTATGTCCTGGAATCTGAAGACCCATCTGCGTGTTCACACCGGCGAGAAGCCGTTTGCCTGCCGCCTCTGCGTGGCCATGTTCAAGCAAAAGGCCCACCTGCTAAAGCATCTGTGTTCGGTCCATCGGAATGTCATTACCACAACCAACGGGGCGGATACGGAAAATCGTTACAGTTGCTGTTTCTGCTCCATGTGCTTCGAATCGGTCCAGGAGCTGGTACGCCACCTGTCCGGCCACCACAACAACCTGCTGCTGACCAAGAACCTGCGCGAATAGCGAATAGCCAACCGATCATCCGAGTATCCGATCTGTCCGATCCGCCGGACGGACCACTGCAAAGAGACCTGAATTTTAAATATATACAATAATACAATCGTACGGTAACAGTAACAGATTTAATTGCCTATTGTATAAATATGTAAAATGTACATTTAAATCATAAGTTTACCAACACATTCACGCGACTCCGCTCGATAATATATATGTACATATATATATATATATTTCACCTAACCAACGGCATGGAGCTCCAGATCCGAATCCGCATCTGCATCCTACGATGCGCACGGGAGGCCAATCACGTTGTTTTCTCATTTAAATTTTATTCGACATTCAATACTACCCCCATTCAATCAATACTTCCACTACTACTACGACCCCCAATCTTTTTAAAACGGCTGGTCCATTTCATAGTGGAGCAATTATATTTTTAAGGATATTTTTATACGCAAGGTATTGTAATTTCTATTGTATTTCCAAAATGTCTTACATGAACTTCATTACCGAAATTTTTGAATACTTTTTTGACACACACACTTTTTTCATGTTAAGATTTCACACATATTCCCTCCTAAGCCGCCAATAAAAGTGTAAATTGTACAGTATAAATTGGCATGCTCGCAAAACAAACAAACAAAAAAAAGAAAAGAATCAGAAAAGCATTTCCGTTTTGTTTATACTTTTTTCAAGCAATTTTTTAGAAATATATTTTATGTTAAACCGAATTCTTACTTGTGTTTTTGTGGGTTGCGGGGTTTTATTTGAAAAATATAAAAGGGTTATAGGATTTAAAAATTTAGCGATTAAGATTCCATCTATTCCGGAAGTTGATTTTTGTAACGGAAACGATCAACTCCATTTATCGATAGTTTTTTTGAATTAAGCTTTTGCACTTGGTATTTATCGAAAAGATGGCCACACTTCAGTCATTAATGGTGGTCATACTGCGTCAACAAAAATTGAAATTCAAAAGTTCGATGCATTTTTAGAAGAAATAAAAACAAATATAGGTAAATTTTAAAAATTATTTATAATTTATGCTTTAATCTATAAACAAAGCATATTTCCAGCTTGTAAAAGTTTGCGAATACTTCATTCGCATAACTTTCAAACTGTGTATTCAAAAAGTAACGATGTTTGGCGCCAAAGTGGCGCACGCCACGGTTATAGAATATATTCGCACTGTCGCCAAGTATAACAAAACAAGGAACAAGTTGGTCAGACGATTGCTGACGATTCGTGTTAACGCTTGGAGTTAACGTTTAGTGTTATTTTTAGTTAAAAATTGCATCTGAGAAGTCGGTTCGAGAGTTGCTTCGCGAAAATGTGGATAATTTTAGTGCGGTGCATTGTGAAGATTGGAAACTGAAATCCCGAGAGATAACTTCGAAATCATAATAGAGGTCCACAACATAACGCCCACACTCCCACACGCACATCATATGCCCAAATACACGAGAAGAAAAGATTCGATTTAGTAACGAACGCTACGTGATTGCGAGCTGTAAAATCGTAAAGCACAAGGAACGGAGGAGGGGATACGAAAGGACGAAAGATTACAATGGCTTTGCCGAAGAAAATTAAATGTTTTAAATATTTAGTTTACAGTTATGTCTTTCTTCTAGCGGTAAGTTTGCAATTGTTTTTTGCCTAACAAGGCAATAATTACTTGTCAAATTACATAAGGTAAATGTAAAAGCATCGTTGGTTGCTATTGCGACACGCAGAATGTGTGAGTGTGTGGCCAAAACTTTGTGTTTTGCGTTCCAGAAATTAAAAAGAATCTTTAATTTTTCTTCGAATTCTAATATATCTGCTATTCTTTGAGATTCTATTTATACTTTGTTTGGTTATTTTTAAATGTGCAAAGTTATTCATTCACAAAAGTGTGTCAGCTCATTACCATTCAATCCATACGTCAAGTGATGTATCCACTCATGTAGAAAACATTATTGACATGTTTGCTGAAATCGCCAAGTGCATTTTTTACATTCCAACACCCTGCAGAGTGTAGAATCAAGCATCCTCGAAAATACATACATACATATATATTTACTATATATCCTTTGTGTACATCACTGCGTCTGACGGGATAAAGTCACACGGTTTAAGTCCCGACTTCGAGTGACCTTGAGCTACTTAAAAGCTGCGCCTATATGTACATATATATATATATGCTATATACGACATGGTACTTCTTCTTTGCGTGACGTCAAAAGGGAGTAGACGAACATGCTACATAGTAGCATCCTGAATACACACCACACGGTGCAGTTAAAGCCTTTCCACGGCCACCCAAATTGTGCGGGGGCCTTGAACAGAAAAGCTGCGATAACAGCCAAGGACTCTCCCGAAACACTACAATCTTGCATGGATGTTTTTTTTTCCCATTTTTCAGCTGACTGGGGCTGCGCAAATATTCTTGGGCACATCCCTGCTATGGGGTCACTCGGTGTACTATGGAATTGTGCAGAACAAGCTGTGGGCTCCGGCTGCAATTCTTCTTTGCCTGGGCCCCGTGACCTTCATCCTTTGCTGGATGGGCTGCCAGGCCACCAACCAGAGGAAGCGCTGCCTACTGGGAATGGTAAATTGAATTATTCAAACTATTTTCTTTAGATGAGTAATTATTTTGTAAAAATCTACAGTTTGCTGCCCTCTTGGTGGCCTGCATATGTGTTCAATTCATCATCTGCGGCTGGTCGTTGGCCATGCGGGAGAACCTTCCAACATCCGTAGAAATCTTCATCGACGACTCCTTTGTAGAGTTTTTGGACAAGTTTTCGCGCACCAAGGTGGATAACCTACATTTGTGGAACCGGATGCAATCGCAGGTGAGCTATATCTGTGGAATTTACATTAACATTTAGGGTTTAAATTTCATTTACTGACCAATTATTTAACTATAAATACATAAATTTAGCTTCAATGCTGCGGAGTGGATGGACCACTGGATTACCGCCGACTATCGCTGCCCTGGTCATGCTGCTCGCGTCCGGAACATGCCTACGAGTCTGCATGTGACACCCACTATAAGCGCGGCTGCTTGGCCGTCGTCTCGGAGCAGATCAAGAACCGCCTATTGATCACCGCCTTCGGAGCTGCCATTATAGCCATATTCCAGGTGAGCTACTGAGCTATCAAGTTTATTTATTCCGCGAATTTTTAAATATATATTCTGTATCCGACAGAGCCTGGGAATTTTCTGTGCTGTCCACCTGACCATTTTGTTCGGCAAGAACGACAATACCCATCCAATGAACATGAATCGAAAAAAGAAGCAGCAACAATTTTTGCCACTAACCATACAGGATAAGCGACATGACCTACCGTCGCCCATCAATCTATCCCCTTCCGCACCAGGGCAGCGGGTTTTAAAAACTGCTCTGCCCCCAGCCATGCACAAATGACAGACGATTAGCTTTTAAGATTCAAAAATTTATGGAAACTCCAAAGAAAAATTATAAAAAAAAAACACAAAAAAAAAATGTTGTAAACTGAGATGATGGAATGAATATAACTGTGACCCTCAATGTTACGTTATGGTAATTTTAAACAATTTAACGTTCGAGAAAAGAAACAACATTTGAATTTGGATTAACTCTCCAGTAGTTTAATTAAAGCTTAAAAACAATTGGATCTAACTTGTTTTGGCCAAAGGGGGTCAAATGTTATGCGTTGTGCGTGATATTTGGAGGGACATAGAACGTGTCGACTGCCTTTGGCTTCTTCTTTTTGCCGAACCAGCGCTTTGGATAGTACACCTTCTTTTTGTAGATCTGGATGTCTATGTCGTCCTTGTTCTCGAAATACCACAGGTTTTGACGTCTCAGTTCCAGCTCGCTTAAGGTCTTGTTAATGTTATCCTTTCGCGCCTCCAGGCTTCGTTCCTCGGTCTTTATACTTACGGCTTTTTCAAACTCTGTCGCCCACTTTTGGTAGGAATCGCCGTAGTCGGCCAGCAGTTTTGGTTCGAACTTTTGGGCACTGCTTTTGACGCTGTTTTCCAGCAATTCTACGATAGCATTGGTTTTCGTAGATTTTTCAACGGCTTCCTGCAGCGACTTGGTAAGTTCCTCCGCTCCTTCCAGCTTCAAACCTTCCAATGCATTTTGTGCTGCAGAAAGAGTGTCCTTATAAAAAGCTAGTTTGTTTTTTTCAAGAAATGCGGAAGCTTCGGTCAGCTGTCCGGATACTACATAGCCAAGAAGGGCAATGTTTTGTTCAAGCTCTTTCAAGGACCCTTCACCGGAACCAATTTTAACCATAGCCCGCCCCAGTTTTTTTTCTTCGGTGTTTTCGCTGGGATCCTCGTGGTAGTTGCGGATGAATTTTACACGGACTTTTTCCTGCAGCAGAGAACGAAAGATTTAAACTTTATAGCTATAGATCAATTCAAATGACTTTTTATCTCACCACATCGCTTTTTTTGGGAGCGGGCTTTTCCTGCTGCTCTGAAACGACGGGCTTGAAGTCTTTTGCAAAACTATAGAATGACTGGAGGGCCAGCGCCTCGACCAGCTCGTTGTTGCATAAGCCCCTTTCCACGAGAATAGCAGCCACTTGAGCTGCTTCCACAGCATTGCCATTGTGTAGCAGGACATCCATTAAGAAGCAGCCGGAAAACTGGTCAACAAACAGGCCGTACTGTGTTGGACTACGTAACACTGATATCGCTTCTTGGGGATTGGTGGAGTCTAGCAGCTGTTTGACCAAAACACTTGGAAAGAGGGGCACCAAACTAGCTTCCTTTTGGCTCCTGCAAAATTTCTACTGTTGGGTTTATCTTATACATTGAAGTCGAACACGAACCTTAGCTTCGCTAGCCTGTCGACCAGATCCATTGGACGGTTGTCCGGATTGACGAAGAGGTCCAAATCCATATTGGCAGCAACATGGCTAACAGCGGATAACTTAGGGCCCTCGTTTGCCAGCTTATTGAATTCCGGCGACAAGTAAGACATCAACCGCCTCGTGGGTAGGGCGCATGAGATCCTCGATCGCAACATTGTGCTTGTTTTAATTCATAAAAATATAACCAAAAATAATATAACCGGGGCTGATATTAGAGCTGGTGAACTGCCGATAGATATATCGATAAGTCGTTGCATATACGCAGCGCCATCTGCTGGACGCAAGAAATATTTTAAAAGACAGAAACTTTTAAATAAACAAACTTTAATTTTTTATTTAATTTTAGTCTCACGTACAGAATAAAAAACAGAACAGTCACAAATAAAAATTAAAAAGAAATGTTTATTATGTTTGGTAATTTTTTTTGTGGTTTTTATTTTCTAAATGTTGGAACAGTAAAAATGAAACAAGGACTGAAGGATAATCACATTAGACTACTCCATAATTTTTAATAATTTATTTAAATTACATATTTTGCCATATTTTAGATAGTTCAAAGGATTTTATACCTTGTTTATTGAAAATTAAAACAATATATATTAAGCTGGTCAGACTAGTTAAAAAAATATAAGAAAACTCAAAAATGTTTTGAGAAAGAACTTATTCCATGGAAGGTTTATCATTTAGGAGTTTTTTGATACCAAATACTTAACGTTTCGTTTAAAAATTTTGTACAGATGTCACATAAAAATTAAACAAATATTGCTGCCTAATAAAAATTCCCCTTTTCCTTAACGAGTTACGTGTTTCAAGGATAAAATGAACATCGCACAAAAGCCACTATATAAGCTCCTTAAATTCCCATAATTCTTTTATATCCTCCGAAACCAAATGTTAATTGAATAGAATTCATGCCCACTCATGGGTAAGTGTCAACAATTTATACGGTTCGGTTGACCTTTCCACCCTCAATCGTCACTCCCATTGAATTACAATCAGCTGAGCCTTGATTCCAACATTATAGCAGATGTGCCTTGGGTTTGTTTGATTTATAATAGTGGAGATTCCAAGTAAAAGAGCCAAAAACTGGTACACAGATCTTATTTATTTAACGCAAATTCGTTCCAAAATAGATAGTAAAAATAATATCAAAATTATTATATTTTAAAATGTATATTAGTATTTACATTGATAGGGATTTCTATATTTGATCATATAAGCATTTCATTTGACGGGAATTCTGCGATCCTTTCAGCGATGGACTTAAGTACTTCGAACCAGCTCCAGAATTTTTTCGACTATCCATTTTAATGGATTTATCTTTCATTATATAAATGGCATGTCTTTCCTGTTTGCGAAACTTTGCTCTTCGGTTTTGGAACCAAACCTGAAATGTTAAGAAAAAAGATTGGAAATGTAGTATTTTTAAAGGATTCTAAAAGCGTTCTGAAAATAGTATCTCTTCATAGAAGGATATGATTTTTAGTATAGATTACTAGAGATATACATATTTATTTAACCTGGACTCTGGCTTCAGTTAAATGTAGCTTCGATGCGATCTCTTCTCTGGTGTAAATATCGGGATAATGGGTCTCTAAGAATATTTTTTCCAATTCGTTGAGTTGGTTCGATGTAAAAGTGGTTCGTATACGTCTTTGTTTAGACTTATCCGTCAGACTCAATCCTTCATCTCCATAGGATTTCAAATGGAAATCTGAAAATAAGTTTCACTATAAGTATGAACTTTAACAAAATTCTATAAATAAATTCTTGTAGGTTATTTAATTATTCACTTTGTGGTAATACTATGATAATAACCTGAATTATACGATGCAATGTTGTGAGTTCCAGGATAAAATTCCGAAACTGTGGTTATTTTTGAAAATAGTAAGCTCGATTCCTGGTTTAAAGAACTCCTTATAGCAGTCTCGTTAGCACACAACTTATAGCTGGAGTCTATCATTAGGTTATAGTGATTCATGTGATTTGCGACTGATAGTCCGGCATTGGTATTATTATTGTAAAACTCCGAGTTGGCGTTGTACAAGCAGTCCTTGTCAAAGTTGGACTTATTTAAGAATGAAAATTCCATTGCACTACAAGCTTGTACAAAAAATGTACCACATAAAGAATTTTATTAGCCGTTAATGAGACATTTGCTCAATAAAACACATAGTTATAGTTGCGCGGATAACACAATTTTTAACTGCCCTTGAATAAATAAGCTTCGATTACGATTGTATCAACTATACAGCCTTTGGACGAAAAAGGATGCTGCACTTGTCTCCGGAGAAAGGGACGGAAAATTTCATTCGTTTCCGCGTTTGGAGGCGGTGCTAACGAGCTCCACTCGACATAAGGGTGGAAATTGGATGAAGCGGCGCGTGCCGTCCACTGTAAAAAAAACTCGATTATTTATACAAATTCATATATAAGATGTCGAATAAATTTTCACTTTTATTGGAATAATTTTGGTTTACAAATAAGGTATAAAGTAAGTATAATATTTTATAAATCAGTCCCATATTTCAGAGTTTGTAGAACCATAAACGTACAACTTATTTAATTTATTCGTTTTTGTGTTATTTTTTCGAGTGTATAAATTTTCACAGGCCTCAAAAAGCAACACTCAGAAGATTAAATTAGCCGAAATACTAAAAGAGAATTTCAAATATTCTTTCAAAAGCAAGTTATACCGTTAAGCACCATTAACATAGTATTGAGAACTAAAAAAAATAAAACGTGTTCTACTGACATTTTGAAGTTTCTTAAATATTTTAAATTGGTGGTGGGTACATATTGAATTTTTAATTTTTGTGTTTCAGAGCAAATGTAAGAGTATCTGTCAGTTGGTTTTTTTTCAACAGCCTTTTTCCTATGTTATAAAACAAATGTTTTTTGTAGCAACCAACAATGAACAAAGGACACCTTACTATCTTGTCTGGTATGTACCAGGATATTAAGTTGATTGAAGCACAATTTTGTGTACATGAAACACCCTTGTGCGGGCGGGGATAAGTGCTTGCTTAATTGATTAAACAATTGTTTGATTGGATCTTATTTTGTTTAGACGTTAATCTAACACGGATGTTAATTCTTTGTCTCGAATCGGAACCAAAATAACTCTCTAAAATCGGTTAGTATTTTATAAACGGGAAAATAAATGTGTATGTTTGTTATTTCTTCTTATAACTTCATCTTCTGGGTAAGTAATGTAATATAATTTGTGAAATATGAGTTGCTTGAGGTGTAAAAAGTGTTATTTTAGTTACAGGCTTCTAAAGTTATTCTTAAAAAAAAAAAAAAAGCTCTACTCATGTTCATAAAAGAATAGAATTAGCTTAAAGGTTTCCATTTACTGGTTAAGACACTCTGGTACACGGGTATTGTATTTAAATGCTTCCATGGTAGAGTGAAGGTGCTTTTCTTTCGTTAACCAACGATTTGGAACGCTCATAGTAGTTTTTAGAAGAAAACTATGAGTTACGGTGAGCTCCTTTTGCGGATTCCTCGTTCTGTCTTGAGAGACGATGGACGATGGCATGGATGCCTGGAACGGCTCCTATTAGGTGTACGTTGTCCGCTCCTGACGGGCGTTGAATAGCGCCTTGAGTTTCTCGGAGGGCTTTCTCGACCGTTCATGACCGGCGATCGGCTGCGTCGGGATCTTTCCGGAGTACGTTCTCGTCGGCTCGTTGATGGAAATGGGGTGCGCTGCGAGCTCGCCGGAGGGCTTGTATATCGGCTCCTTGATGGTGATGGGGAACGTCGACGACGTATGGAACGCCTGGAAGTTGATCGGTTGGCCCTTGACCCCATCAGAGGGCTGGTCTGTACGTTTCTAGAGGAAGGAAGTCGGCTACGGGATCTCATAGCCGGGCTTCTGCGTTCGCCCCTGGAAGACGATAGCCTGCTACTTGCTCTTGCAGCTGGGCTTTCTAGTCGGCGCCTCGATGGAGATGGGCTTGGTTCAGAAACCTCCGACACCGATGGACTGCGTCTTGAGGGCCGCACAGAGCTTTGTTTAAACTTAATTCTTACACAGATCCTACAAAAAATATGTACATTTTAAATGTTTCTATCCAATGATCCAATAAACGAAAATAAACCTACATGTTTTCGTCAAATGGCGCGGAGCTGCAAAAAAGATTGGTTTCTTTACTTTCCACTTAACATTGACTTAACTAACATTCAGTTACTAAAACTATGTGTATTACCTTTTTAACTTGCATTTAAAATTGTTCATTTTGTTAAAATAAGTTGACTTTCCCGCGTCTATTTGACCAAATGAACCGACGCCGTGCATCAAACTTTAATCTTCAACAACGTTGCCACACTGGTATAGAATTAGGACTGTTGCAAAAGCGAATGCAGAATTAAGTTTATTTCAATATTTATTCGTGGGTAGCATCCCCAAAAAAAATATCCCCATCTCTATGTTTTGATTCGGCTGTTGATAAATTCCAAAGTTTAAATATTAAAATTGGCGTTTCTCAAGGAACAACAGGTGAGTAACTTTATATATTTTTTTTAATTTCTGTTTAGATAATATTGTTGACCAAAGCTTGATTCCATTCTTCTGATGCCAGATTTAAATTGTGCTACCAAGTTTGTTAAGAAATCTGCCTATTTCTTAACCAGCTGTTTTGGTTTTGGACTCTAGGATGAACTGGACCCGATCGTTCTACATTTCTTAAGGTCTAAGTTTGGGCTGAGCTTTGATTTTCTTCCAGCTAACCCACACCTGTATGTTGGCTAAAATGTCGTTACCTTCATGGTCTTCTGACAGCCCACAGCGGCTTCATTTGCTCCCGAGTTCCCCCCGTATTAATTTATGAGTCGGGTTTCTCTTGTTAACCAACGATATGGAACGTTTATCATAGTCTTTTAAAGAAAAAAATGTCATGATAATGGTAAAGGTTTTTGAACTAAGGGATTTCATGAAAATATATGCAAATTTAAGCAAGACAGTACCATTTTTATTATAAAAGGATAAAAAAGAACAAGATCAAAAAAATATATTATACATTTTTATAGGTACACTCAACTATGGCATAGAAATCTTACTTACGGAATTCACCTGGAATTCCAAAGAAGTCAACCAACCCACTACAATACGACGTTATCCCTATGGTAACCTAATTATGTATCGTTATTTAACTTTACATTTTACATAGGGTGGGTCCAAGACAAAGAAAGGTCCTTTTTGAGGTCCTTGGGTCAGCTAAGAATGTCCTGAAAGGGTCGAAAACACTTTTCCTCCCGACAAAAGGCAAGTGGTTGTAGGTGTCTGCAAAACAACCAACTGGTTTTGAAATATTCAGCCGTTGACTAGGAGCAGCGGAGAGTATCGAAGCGTAAAGGTTTTCCAACCCCCGCATACAGTCATGGGCCCTGGCACGGGTGTTTGAGGTAGCAGCTGCATGCACCGATCCCCCCCTAAAACGCACACACATGCCTCAGGAACGTATAATAATGATTCTACCAGAGTCATGCACAAGTGGCACGGCACGGGCTACAATGGGCCAAGGGGCGAGGATCGTGTGCCACACGATCGGCCAGAGAGGAAGTGCCAGGTATTAGGTCCGGCATTATCTCGAGAAAAATGTATGGTTACGCTGGGTGGTTTGGCTTTTGGCTCTCGGCCTCTTGGCTCTCGGACCGGGTGCTTGGATCTCTCCGAAAAGTGGCGAAAAGCATTTAGTTGTGCTGTATGTACCATGCCGAGCAGATCGTTAAGCTAGAGATCCGTATGTGAAAGTCCGTCGTGGTTGTACGCGCAGTGTACGAGTTGGAAGTGTAAATAGACCGTTATGGATCCCTTACTGATTGTCATTCTTGCACTTGGATTATTCCATGGAGGTACGAGGACGATAGTGCGGCTGTAATCTCAAATATTTAGCATTGGAGAACTATTTATAAATTAAGAAATGAAATCATTTCATCGGACAAAAAACGTATATAAGCTTATACAAATACAACGAGTGTACATCGTACAAACCTTGAGAAAAATAATGACAAATCGGATATCTATAAATATAACCGCCAGTTTTGAGTAAAAACGCTAGTAATTTAAAAAAACGCCTCTTTTACAAAGCAGGATTTAAGAGAAATAATAATAAAACAAGTAATAATAAATAGTACTTTAATTTAGCCGGTGAATTAAGAACCCCCCACCAATATTTAAAAAGTGATCATCAAGTCTTAGAAAAACTAAAGTTTATAATGAACTAAGGATTAAGTTTTTGAATCTATGTTTTAAATAATAAACTATTCAACTGTTATCCAACATTCCAAATAAAAGACTTTCCTGGAAACTGTACCTTTCTACTGAAAGTAATTAAATAGATTTTCGAAAAATTAAAAAAAAAAGGAAACACATGATAAACTACCAAACGAAAAATGTTAAATTTTCTTGTTTTTATTTGTTATTGCCTTCTATTTTTAAACAAAATGAGCATCTGTTCTCTTGAGTTTTTCTTTTCGTAAATATAAGCTTTTTCGCCAAATCTATATAGATTTGCACCTATATGTTTGTATACTTTTGGTGATATGTGTATTTTGGATTTAAAGCAGACTATACACAGTATTCCAAACATGTCAGAACCGCACGTTTTATGTAAATTCAAAAAAAAAAAACTATCTCCAACCTACATAGATGTGCTCATTTCGCAGTTGCAAGTATATGAAAACATTTTTATTTATTTTTTTTTGCAGAAGCTCTAGGCTATCCCACTAAAGATGAATCCGATGTGATCATAATTGAACTAGAAAATGATGATATGAAACCCACTATATTGGACTGTGAATACGAAATCACCAACGATCCTATATTTCTTACTTTAAAATGGTTTAGAAACGAAAAGACCATCTACCAGTGGATTCGTGGAAAACAACCAGCTCCAATCGTAAGACCGATTTTTAATCAAAATAAAAATGATAAAACAATAATTTTATATCTAATTTCAGCCTGAATTTAAAAATGAGATTGATAGTTCATTTGAGAGTTCAACAGATCCCAACCATCAGTACAGTTCGTTGGCTCTTATCAATCCTACTATTAACGCCACCGGCGACTACAAGTGCGTGGTCCAAACAAACACTGAAACGTTCACAAAGCACCAAAAAGTTCAAGTTATTGACATCAGGAACTACACCTTGCAGCTGAACCATCTCAAAATACAGAACGAGACGCAACTGGAGTGCGTCGTGTCCAATATTTATCCAAGACCCATCCTAACAATAATGTAAGAAGCTAAAATTGGGGTACATCTTTTGTGACGCTCATTTACACATTTTTTTTTATTTCAGGTCGAATGATGAGGATGTTATCATGAAGGATATACCTCGCGTTGATGTGGACGAGGATGGTTACTTCAATGCCACTACCGTAGTGGCGGTATACGATACCGACGAAGATCCCGATGCCTACCAGTGCACGGTTTCCTTTGAGGACTACGGGAAGAATATAACAACTTTTACAATATCGGGATCATCGGGTGTCAGTCACATCGATTTTAACCTGTGGTTGTTTTGCTTTCTGTACTATCTGCTTTCTAAATTGAAAGTCTTAATTTAAATAAACCAGTTGTTGATTTTTATTGTTACTAAAAATTATGTTTATTATATTCTGTTTGCCATTGAACGCTCCTTTTCGGCGTAGCTATCCATTTTGTAAATAAATACGAATACTTCATAAAACCAACTACGTAGTTAACTTTAAAACGGTTCAAATCCCTATAGATTTTTGGACATAATCGAAAATAGCTCTGGTTATTGGCAGAATCTAATAGAATCATTTGGATTTAAAATCTACAACAATGTTTATTTTGTTTGCCCTCTACTTTTAGCTTAACCGTATTATTCAGCTATGTGACATTTACTCCACTTTCATTTTTGTTTCCAATGGAACGAAAAAAAAACGATTGGCTGAATTTCGGGAATCTTTTTTTCTTTCGTTTTATTGATATGTGGGGCTCGAGTCCAATAGCAGATTCGAACAGCCATTGAGATAGGCTTTGTGGAGTTTGTTAACGAATTCCTTGTCGTTTTGGATGAGATGTGTGAATGCCTGGACGAACTGTGTGGTGTTCAGAGGCTGCACAGTCTGCTTGGGTTGCTGGGGGAACTCCGGATTGCCGTTGGGCGCGTCAAACATTGTGGGAGGCATCAACGCCGGTTTTGTTTCCGGTTTGTCGCCCGCCAGCAGGCGTCGAAGGCACTTGCCGGCATCTTCATTTAACACCGAGGAGGTCGGGGCACTGCCGATCTTTAACTCGCTCAGCAGCGACAGGGACTGGGAATTTAACGACTGGGCCTTCTGAAAAGGCGACAGCCGGTTCTCGGCCGCTGATGGAATAAGGTCCTCGCCAGGCGTGGCGGCACGCTGCTGCTTCTCCAACTGATCCACGGATAACGGTTGGACGCGGTGAAACAGCGAATCCGCTGTGGCCTGTTTTGCCGACTCAAAGAACTTTAAAACATTGCCAGGCGTGACATTCTCCGGAGGCGTTTTCGCTAGACTTCCGCTACTGCTTATTTGCGCGTTGTACTCCTTTTGGGCCTTGCTCAACATGTTGAATATACTGGCGTTGTCCTGCTTGGGATTGCCTGCCGCCGGAGCGGACCGTGGAGCTTGGCCGTTCGAGTCCTTATTCTTTAGGAGACCGTTCACCAATCTGTTGATGCGGTCACATTCTTCACTGTTGTAAAACCAGAAGCCACGGATGCGTGAGCGTTCATTGCGATAAAGCAGGAACGGCGGCTGACTCTGCAACTCCAGGCTGCCGGTGATTGGCTCCACAAACGACGTGGTGTTTAGTCGGTTATTGATGAAGATGCTGTGAAACGGTTCCGCGTTTCGGTGGTATATGAAGAATGCTCCCTCGACGTCCGTCTTCTCCCATTCGTTCTGGGCCGAGTTAAAGGTGTAGAATGCTACGTGCGAGGACGAGTCCACGATCTCCTTGGCGTATGGATCTATCTTCTTGATAGCAGATAGGTTCATCCGGGTAATGCTTTCGTCGGCCATGGTGTTGCTGTGGTGATTATCAAGCCTATTGCAATTATTTATGAATTCAACAAACCCTTACGTATATACGCAATTTTCCCTTTTGGGGCTATCGATATATCGATAACATTGCGAAACCAGAGTGTTGTCACCAAGATCCTTTTCGGTGATAAGAATGTTTTCCCATTAAGGATCTAAGGCAGAAAAGAAGGATTATGTTAGTAAGATTCTAGATTAAAAAAAACTGATTATTACATCTAAAATTAAGTATTATTCGTTAACAGCTTTATGCATTGATAAACAATTAAGATGAGACATTTTGGCCCGTTGCGCCTATGGTCACACTTGGAATTAACTGGCGGGAATCGTGTCTTCATTGCAACACTTTATATATTTTGTTGGAAGCTGCACTGCATCACAATGCAAAAGTCCATAACGTAAATATTGTGATCCCGTCCTGCCACAGAAAATCACCTCTTATTTTATTCTTGTTTTAGATCCTTTTTCAAAAGGAAATCTGATGTTCCAGATGAGTCGCCGGAACCAAAGAAAGCTCCCAAGTAAGTTAAAAGCGAAAAGGCTTATAGCTAAAATAATAGCATTCATTGTTTTTAAGAATCAAAACTGAAACAAAAGTCACAAAAAAACCCACAATCAAGAGTGAAGATGGGTCCCCCGAAGCTAAAATTAAAATTAAGCCAGAACCAATGACTGTGGACCCTCTAGAATCACCAGATGCTCCAAAAAAAGTAAAGGATGAGTTGGATACGGAAAACAAACCGGCAGCCGCCAATGATGCAAAAGATGAATCGGATGCAGAGAACAAAGAAGCCGACCGCAAGGTTACAACCATAGGCTTGGTCTCTACCTCAAAGGATGGAAAAGAGGACGCTGAGAACTACGATCCCTCCAAAGAGTCTTACCATCCTCTGAAGAATGCCTACTGGGCGTCAAAGAAAGTGTGAGTATACCCTTTGTATATATCAACATCTCTATTGTGATTTCCAATCTCCAGCACTCCTTACTTGGCATTGGCACGGACGTTCCAAGTCATTGAGGAAACCAAAGGCCGCCTCAAAATGATCGACACTCTGAGCAATTATTTTTGTTCGGTCATGTTGGTCAGCCCCAGTGATCTGGTGCCCAGTGTGTATCTCAGTATTAACCAATTAGCTCCTGCCTATGAAGGCTTGGAGTTGGGAGTTGCCGAAACCACGCTGATGAAGGCCATTTGCAAAGCCACCGGTCGAAATTTGGCCCACATTAAATCGCAGACACAACTGATTGGTGACCTGGGCATTGTGGCCGAGCAGTCCCGCGTTTCGCAGCGCATGATGTTTCAACCGGCTCCCTTGAACATTCGAGATGTGTTCCGTAAGCTCAGGGAAATCGCCAAAATATCCGGTCAATCTAAGATGGATCTTGTTTACAACGTATTTGTGTCCTGCCGATCGTCAGAGGCCCGCTTCTTCATCCGCTCCTTGATTGGAAAACTACGGATTGGCATTGCCGAACAGAGTTTGCTGACGGCTTTAGCCATTGCCCTGGTCAAGAAGAACCATATCGGTGACTGCAAAGCCAGCAAGGTGCCAGATGCCTACAAAGAAGAAATTGCAGAAACTACATTGCTGCTGAAAACCGCCTACAGGTGGGTTAATCCTAATATCTGACATAATCTTTATATATCTGGTGTCTATTTTAGTCAATGTCCAAACTACGACATAATTATTCCTGCCATTCTGGAGTACGATATTAAGGAACTTCAAGAACGCTGTCCCATGCATCCTGGCATGCCGCTGAGACCTATGCTTGCCCAGCCCACTAAGGGTGTTCACGAGGTTTTTGAAAGATTCGGGGGCATGCACATTACTTGCGAGTGGAAGTACGACGGGGAACGAGCCCAGATTCACTGCAATGAGAAGGGCGAGATAAGCATATTCTCCAGGAACTCTGAAAACAATACAGCAAAATATCCGGATTTAATTGCCAGAAGCAAGAATTTCCTCAAGTGCCCTGTTGAATCCTATATCATAGACAGCGAGATCGTTGCCTGGGACGTGGAACGAAAGCAAATTCTGCCCTTCCAAGTGCTAAGCACTCGGAAAAGAAAGAACGTTGACATTGAGGAAATTAAAGTTCAAGTCTGCGTCTATATATTCGATCTCCTGTATATTAATGGAACGGCCTTGGTGACAAAGCCGTTGTCGGAACGTCGAAAACTACTTAACGAGCATTTTCAGGAGGTTGAAGGGGAGTGGCAATTCGCGACTGCATTAAACACCAACGACATAGACGAGGTGCAACAGTTTCTCGAGGAATCTGTTAAAGGTATGGCATACAAAAGGTAACAAAAGAGCTTCTTAATAAGGCATCAATTTTCTTTTAGGTAACTGTGAGGGTCTTATGGTTAAAACACTGGATCAGGAAGCAACTTACGAAATAGCAAAGAGATCTAGAAACTGGCTAAAGCTGAAGAAGGATTACATATCCAATGTGGGCGACTCGCTGGATCTCGTAGTGATTGGCGGCTACAAAGGCAAGGGCAAGAGAACTGGTACCTACGGTGGCTTTTTACTGGCTTGCTACGATACTGAAAATGAAGAATACCAGACCATCTGCAAAATTGGAACAGGTATTTAAAATACTACGAAGTTAGCAAAACAAACCTCTAATACTCATCAATTTTTAGGTTTCACCGATGAAGATCTGCAGACGCATTCAGAGTTTTTGGGAAAACATGTCATTAGCAGTGCAAAGTCCTACTACAGGTACGACTCTAGCCTGGAGCCTGACCATTGGTTTGAACCGGTGCAAGTGTGGGAGATCAAGTGCGCCGATCTGTCACTTAGCCCGATCCACCGAGCGGCAATTGGTATCGTTGACGGGGAACGTGGTATTTCGCTGCGGTTCCCCAGATTCATTCGTATCAGAGATGACAAGAACAGCGAGAATGCCACAGACGCTAATCAGGTGGCCCACATGTACCAATCACAGGACCTGGTGAAGAACAACCAAAAAACCTTAACCCAAATGGATTTGGAGGATGAGTTCTATTGACTGGACTCGCAATATTCAGATTGTAACATTTATTTAATAATAAAAGTACATTTATTCGCCTATTTGGCGAGGCTGGCCGAATGTGCACTGTGACTGCTTTCAGAGGATTTGGACAAACGCCGGCCGTCATCGGCCTGGCTTTCCTTATTTTCCTGGGGTTTTTGTTTGTGCCGCCGCCCGGCACGCCTGTTCTTTTTGTAAGTTCTCTCGTCTGGCCCATCTCCCTCACCTTCGGAAGCATCCTTAGTAGCATTTTGCCGCGATTCATCTGATCCGGTTTGTAGGCGCGCTTTTGGCTGGTAAATAGCTCGCGCTGGACGATCCTGAAAATATTTAACATTACTAGGGAATTCTCTAAAAAGTGATGTGAGCGACAAACCTTATTGCGGATACGGCGCTCCTCTGAAGACCGGAAGTTATTACTTTTGGCAGGATCTTCTTTAACTTTTTTAGAGTTACCCGTAGGCTCTTGAGCCACAGGAGTTTCCTCCTTGTCCGCAATGCTGCCGGCAGCTTGAATAAATTTCTTGACAGAATCAGCGACTTCACTATTTTCGGTTGATTGTTCGACAGTACTTTCCTTTGAGGTCGATGGCAAATCTGTAGTGTCCGGTTTAGCTTCCTTTTTAAGTATAACAATATCTTTGTCAGTCTTAGAGAGATCCTTGGGCTGCTTTTTTCCTTGCTTGCCGTTTGGCCCTTTCTCCTTCTCAGGTTTATCCTGGCGATCCGGCTTTTTATCTTTCTTGTCCTTGAAGTCACGCTCACGAGCCTGCTTCCGCAACTCGTGCTCTTCCCGGCGCCTTTGATCACGCTCAGTACGTCGCTTGGAGCGAGAAGCTTTGCCGGTCTCTGCCCCTTGAGCTGGGGTCTGAGGATCCTTGGTCTCTTTCTTAACGGACTTCTTGTTGTCACCACCAGCCCCGGTTTCCTTGACTTCCTTGGATTTGCTGGCCTCGCCTTGCTCCCCTTGGCGGAGCTGCTTCTGCTCCTCGCGCTGCTTCCTTTTTTCCTCGTTCCGCTTGCGCGCCTCTTCACGTCGCTTTTCCTTTTTATTGGCAAGATACTGGAGCAGGGGTGTAGATTTGCAATTCTCATCCAAGCGCCGTTCAAAATTGAAATCGATCTTGACGTCGCCAAGACGACTTGCTTCTTCCCTTTCATCGGCCAGACGTTGGATGAACTCCTGGTAGTGGGGCTCGCTCTCGATGGTATTAACCTTCGCATCATCGTTGCGCGCTTTGTTCTTCAGGAAGCTCTGAAAGGGGGCGTATTCCACGATTGCCATGTACTCGGAGCCCTTGTTGTCCAAAAAAACGTATCCGTCGAATCGGTCCCGGAACTGCAGCACATCGCTGATATCTTTGAGGCTCATATCTATGTAGGCGCGACAGGTGGCCTCCTGGCCTAGAGACCAGTCCGCCGGGCAGAAGTAGTAGTACTCATTATCCGGCAGAGGACCAACCTGCTCCAGAAACTCAGTTTCCGTCATAGTTGGCGGTAAATGCCTCACAACAATCTGAAAGAGGAGGATTGGGTTCGGATCTAGGAATGCACGTATTATAGGTCGTATTCTACCTTTATTATTTGATTGGCCTTGTCTTTCTTATCCCGGCGCCGACTTGTCTTCGGTTTATCAGGATTGGAGCCTTTCGGCTTTTCCTCAGCCACAACATCTGACATGTTTCTTTAAAAATCCAAACAAAACACAATATGTGGAACGCACCGCCTAGTGATGACAACATACACTCGGAACTAGTTCCGTGAATCCAATCTGCCTTTCAACAGCTGACTGGTTACCTGTGAACTAGTAGGCTGTGAGAATTATTTAAACTTTATTATTGGTCCTGAAGTCTTTCAATTTTGTTGACTATTAATTACTTATTAGAAGTTATAAAGAATGTACCTCGAATTATGGGTAGCCTGAGTCAATCTTATGGGCCCACATATAATTGCATTATATGCTTTCGAAATGGCACCAAAACCTTGGAAGCCCTCGTATCTTTAGCCAATAAGGATGAAGCTGTTTCACCTGGAAGAGTCACATGCAAAGGATGCCAAATGCAGCGGTATTGCAGCGTGGCACACTTAATAGATGATCGCGGGGAACATGAACCACTTTGTCAGGTGCTAGCCGATCTCATGGAGTTCAAGAGGATTAACCACCAGCTTCTGATTCAAGAAAGGATTGAAGGCTTAAAACAGTTGATAATGGTCATCTCACAGCTCAAACTCATTCTTCAGGTCAAGTTACGGCGCTTTTGTGGAGGCCAAAGGCCAGAGTATTGCCGTTAAACGGACCTACAACATCATGGACAATCCGTATCGCGAAATATTACCTTTATACAATCCCTTTACGGAGGATAACGAAGTTATAGTTTATAATAACAATTACCTCGAGATTGTGTTCACTACTTTGATTAATTAATATCTTTGTTGTTATATTAGACAATTGGATGAGGTTTGAAATCTCACATTTTAATAATAAATTTAAACATGGTTTATCCATTTACATTTTTGGTAAATTTTTAAGAATAAATTGTTTACCTATTTGCATAGCCTACATTTTTTAATAAGTATAAATGCTCAGTTTATCAACGCAGCCACTCATTACGAGGTAAGAAAAAACGATTATTTTACTTTCATTAGGATTTGTGAACGATGCTAGATTTGGAAGTAGCCCTCTGAACTTTGATCTAAAATGTTTTCTTTGAAATGACAACAAGTAGGTCGATTAGCCAATAAAACGATTGGTGCAGATCCCCCTCGCATAAATAAGGTGCCTTTGTCCAGGACTCTACCCGGAATCCGCAATTCTCCAGCAGCTCGAGGAATCTGTTGGCTTCTTCCTCGAACGAAGTCGGCCGACCGTTGTTGCAGTTTTCGAGTAGAGGACGCAGCGGTAAATGCGATGTATTGGTCTCCACATAGTGCATGTAGGGAAGAACTAATGCTACAACGGCTCGTCCATTGGGAGCTAGTGCATCGTGTATTTCCTCCAAAAGCCGGAAAGAATCAAAGCACCGGTCCAGCACGTTAAGGCATAAAATCAACTCGACGTGTTGCATTCCTCCAATCTCCGTAATTACATTAAAATTCAATTTCTTGAGACGTTCCCGCATAGTCCAGCTGGCCTCTGTGGCAAAAACTCGGAGTCCAGCAGTGCCACTGAGCTCTGAGACAGTGTTGGCCACCCGAAGCGAGATTTCTCCGTCTCCAGCTCCAATGTCCAGCAGGGTGACGGGTTCAGGTCCAGGATTCGGTGAGAATCCACCAGCCACGAGCAGTTTGTGAAATTGTGCCTCCGACAGGATAAACATCGACCCACGCTTTAAGAATCCGTTGATGTCCGTCTGGGTCATGAAGAACTGGAGGATAGACCTGGCTAGGGCATGCCACAGGTGGGTCCAAATGTTTGCCGAGAGGGCCTTGGCCCGTTCCAGCCAACTAACGGTGGTGGCATCCGGTTCGAGGGGCACGAACTTGGATTGAAATCTAGGCGGCAACTCGTGCGCCAGGGAATACCACTGCAAAGCAAACACACATATGTACACACAGTTTAATCAAAGAAAAAACGATGCGACACGAACCTTTGTGGTGTCTATGTTCTCCAAAGAATTGTCGTTGTGGAATTTGGCATGGATGACACGGGCCAACGTACCTCGCGGGCGATATAAAGTCATTTTTTTCGTTTATTTACATGTTCTAAGCCCTAAACAAATGCATTTAACCTGGAATCCCTAGAGCAATAGAGATGGGCGATAAGTCGGACTATCGATTATAGATAACAGTTTATTTAAAAATTTTTAAGTAGTTATTTTTGAAGTTATTAGACTAACATTTTTGTCAATTAATAAATTATTTATAAATAAATTAATTGTAAGAAAAATACCTTTCAATCATTTACTAGTAGAACGTATTGTAACCAATGAAAATAAAAAAAAGGTTGCCAGGAAGTTCAAGGCTAATGTTTAATTAGCAATTCCTGTGTTTTGTTTTTATGTAAAAAAAAAACAATTTTAAATAAGGTAGGTTTTAAATAAAATTTTTTCACTGCCTCAAACCGCATGAAAATGTTTTATTCTTCAAGCTAAGATATACCAATTCGCAATTGAAATATTTGTGGGGTGTCCGATAACTTTAGGGCCCTTCACACGTGCCCATTTTGTTTTGCAGTCGAGTAATGTACACAAAATAAGCGGCGGGTGTATTATTTGTTGTTATTTTAATGAAACTGCATTTGAAATGAGTATTAACGTGGTTGCGAACATGGAGGAGAAGCCTACCAACGACGAATTGCCGTATTTCCCGGAAAACTTTCCGGGAAAGGTGTGCTGTTTATGCAACCTCGGTGAAAAAAGTGCCTTAGGCCAGGGAGCTATTCTGCAGCTGAAGGCGCCAGCGCCTAATGAACTAAAGGAAAAGTACCCTACTGACCGGCTGAAAGAGGACGGATGCAGGCCATTCTATGGCTCCAAGCAGACGCCAACCAGCGCAAGCGATTGCAACTACGAGCTTGACAAGATTGGTCAGGCGGAGATTGTGCATCCCGCGGAATTTCTGGACGAGGGATTTATTTACGTCCACCGTATGTGCGTGATGTGGTCTCTGCGTAAAAGCCAGATAACCGATGCGGATGCAGCGTACTTTGCTAGTCACTTTGCCGAGTTTTTGGAACACAAGTGCAACTTCTGCGGTCGCTATGGTGCCTCTATTAACTGCAAGATGAACTGCCGACAGGTGCATCACTGGCCGTGTGCGGCGGCCGCAGGCTGTCTTCTAATCCTGGAGAGCTTCACGGTCTTCTGTACGGAACATTTAAGTCAAGTGCTTTTAATATGTAAGTTTTTTATTTAATTTAATGGTAAAGGTTGTTAATAAAAATAAATTACAGGCAGCGACAACAATGTTGAGTGTCTGACGTGTTCTTCGCTGGGAGACTTGTCCAAACTGATCATGTGTAGTACCTGTGGAGACCATTTCCATTCCACCTGTGTTGGTCTGGCCAATTTGCCAGGTAAGACTATAATTGTTTGAATTTTCCAAAAAGCTCTACAAATCTTGTTTTTTTAGATACCCGTTCTGGTTGGAACTGCGCCCGTTGCACCAAATGCCAGATTTGTAGGGTACAGGACTCCAATGACCTGAAATATGTAAAGTGTGAGCAGTGCCAGAAGATATATCATGCTTCGTGCTTGCGTCCTGTGATTTCAGCTATTCCCAAATACGGATGGAAGTGCAATGTAAACTAAATCTATACAAATCCCTTATTGGAATAAATGGCCAACTTTTTTTTTAGCGTTGCCGCGTCTGCACGGATTGTGGATCACGAACGCCTGGTGGTGGGAATTCTTCGCGCTGGCACAGCCATTACACAATCTGCGATTCGTGTTATCAGCAGCGCAATAAGGGTTTTTCCTGTCCCATTTGCCAAAAAGCTTATAGAGCAGCGTCCCACAAGGAAATGGTCAAATGCAGCTGGTGTCATAAGTAACTTTGGCCGAATTTGATGTTGGTTTTTACTTATTAACTATTTTCTTTTAGATTCGTGCATAGTACATGTGACGAAGAGGCGGATTTGACGGCCTATCACAAGAAAAAAGACCTTAATCCTGACTACGACTATGTCTGTCCAAACTGTAAGAGCATTTCCTCGGGTCCGGGCCAGTCCCAACAAGCCTTAGACTCTATTGTACTATCTGGAATGGACTCGGGATCGGACCAACTAAGTCTAAAGAACATTGAGATTGATCCCCTGGAAGGAAAGCCCAATATTGATTCACCCATGGACGATTTTCAGAAATTTTCGGTTGGGAAAAAGAAAGTCTGCTTTCCGAGCGCTCGAGGAAAGAGCGGAAAGTTTGTGCTGCAGCGGATGGGAGTAATGTCGCAAATTAACAAAAAACGCAGCACACGGGGAAAGGGGCGACAGTTGGCGCTGCCCAGCATTTCAAGTGATCGTTGTGCAAATCGCAACATGGATACCGACCTGACAAGCGATAAAAAGATGCTATTGTGCTCGGCTCGCGACAAGTATATATTGACCCAAGATATTTGTGTCATGTGCGGTTCGTTGGGCATCGAGAGTGACTCGGCGATGATCACATGTGCCCAATGTGGCCAGTGCTACCATCCGTATTGCGCTGGTGTGAAGCCGTCGCGGGGCATCCTCCAAAAGGGTTGGCGCTGCCTGGACTGCACGGTGTGCGAAGGCTGTGGAAAGAAAAATGACGAAGCACGTCTCCTTTTGTGTGATGAATGCGACATTTCCTATCACATCTACTGTGTGAATCCTCCACTGGAAACGGTACCCACTGGTAACTGGAAATGCTCCTTCTGTACGCTTTGCCAGAAGTGTGGACGAAATCCCACCGAGAAAAGCGAGTTCGGCGACTCTAACATGCCTGAGTGTCCGCCGTGTGCCAGTCAATCCGCGTGCAATGTGTGCAAGAGTGCCTATGCCAATGGAGAGATGATCATCCAATGCGAACACTGCGAACTGTGGTCGCACTTCCTCTGCGACACAGTCAACGCCCAGTTAACCATAGACCACTACGACAGAAACATGTACAAATGCTTGAAATGCCGCAGTTCGTCAAAAAGTTTGATGTCTCTAATGGACTCCAAATCTGGGGAAGCTCTTGGTTCGGGTCTGCAGGCACACTTAAGCAAGGCATCTCTGAACTCCAATCTTGCGGGATCGGGTCTCGATGTAAAAAATGTCCCTGACAGAAATATGTCTTTGACAAATGAATTATCAGAGGTTCCACCTGAGGCTCTGCACTGGATTGATGGCGTTTGCCTGAGTGAAAGCGGACTAGGCATGATCAAATCCCTTTCCACAGAGATCAAGCGGAAGAGAAAGATGCGCCAAACTATGGGCAACGGTAAGGATGGCCAAGCGGATGCAGCAGACGAGGCACAAAGTGAAAAGTACAAAGACGGGATGATTTGGGATGGCACGGAAAACGCCATTCCCGAGGGCTTCACCATATCCACCAATGACGAGGGTGTGCATATTCTGCGCAAAAAGCGACAGCGTAACTTGCAAAAACTTGGTATCGGCGGCTTCTCTGTACGCAATCGTGGCTTGAAAAAGGATAGTGAGGAAGCGGCAGCAGCCGATCAGCTAAATGCCCTCATGGTTATGGACAAAAAGAAGAAAATCATTCGGAAAAAGCAAAAGAACAAGCTGATTGAAGCGTATCCTGTTTACTTGCAAGAGGCCTTCTTTGGGAAGCCCCTGTTGGAATGTGGTGAAGTTGTCATGGGCGAATCCGATTCATCTGATGAAATTGACGCCTCCATGAAAATGCACTTTACGAGACCTGAAGGCAAAGTCCCAGAAGTTGAAAACCCACAAATCAATAAGAGTCCAGCCAAGACACTAAAGAAAGTCAAGTCTGAGAAGATTGTTCCCGAAAACAAGACAATATTCATCGAGCAAATGCCAATGGGCATTCAGCAAAAGCCCCCAATGACGCCTACTCCAAACGTTTTTGGTAATTATTTAATAATAGCTTTTAAAATGAGTTTCTTAATCATTTCTCTTATATTTTCAGATCCTTCACATACTGAAATGACAACTGTGCTGACCAACAGGCATCCCCTTGATACTTTAACTTCCCCTAACATTGGCGAACTGGATGGAACCAACTCTGTAAATATGGTCACGTCCACTGAGATTTTGGAGAAGCCTATGCGGTAAGGGTCGGGATTCTTGGGTATCAGATGGTATTTGACTAATCGACTGGCGTATCATTTTCAGAGAATCACCAGTTGTGCTGGTAGACAATTACATGGTGCCACAACAACTGCCACAGGATCAGAAGTTCCACAACCCATTGTATTTGCCAGGAAACATGGCAGTAAATCCACCACAGCAGCTGCATTTCCATCAGCCATCGGATATGAATTTAAACGCACAAAATGCCAATAAGCAGAAAATGCCCCATCAGGGTATGATGGGACAGGTCATCATGCAGAGTGAAAAGAGGCCAGATGAAGAGGTTAAGGTTGCCGAACCTGCAACCGAGAATCTAAACGCCGGAACTCAGAAAACTGCTGAAAAAATGCGCAAAGATGAGGGTAAGGGTTCGCGGAGTCTTATTTATTTCTTTTTAATACTAAGAACGATTTTTGTTGACAGATCTTGGACCAATGGCTACCATTTCGGCAGTGTTGTACGCCAACACAGAGCATCCAAACCTAAAGGAACTATTCCCGAACTGGAATGATCGCTGCAAACAGATCCTAAAGCGATGGCGATCGCTGTGCAATGACAAGAAAGCCCCATTTCTTCAAAAAGCTAAAGATAATCGGTCGGCACTGCGTCAACGGCGGGAACAGAACAAAATACCAATGCCACCGAAGCCCCAAAAGCAAGAAGAAATGGGAAGAGTGTGGAAGCAGCCGCCTAAATTAAAAGATGACCAGTCCAACATGTTTGTCACATTTAGTAAGTTAAAAATATCATAAATTTTGTTTTTTGAGAGACCTGTAATTGATTTATTTTTAGATGGTAATGCCTACGAGATGGCCACCTATGTTAATAGCCCAGCGCAGCCAACGCCAAACACCCCCCATCAGATAATGACAAATGTAAATGATAATCTGGTGATTAAGGCCACCATGCAGAGGACTACTGTGCAGGCAACGGCACCGAATACCATGAAAATGGCCACTGTTGACAATCGACTAGAACTAAATTCGGTTTACGGAGCCGAACCGATTGGGGATAAAAAATTAAGGAATCTACTGCAAAAGAATAGTACGGAACCGATGCTGATGGGGACGAACTCTGATTTGTTCCTGCAAAATGATGTCCTGCGAATGGGCATGATGCAAAATACGCCTATAACCCAGAACAATCCAATGATGAGCATAAGCGGCAAATCTCAGCCATTGGAAGGCAGGACCTTGGAGCAAGAGGTTAAGATGGGCGAGACCCAGGAAAATGCTGCTTCTGCTGTCGAATTGGAGAATGTTGGATTTAGCGATTTGCTTGGCGGTCTCGGTGAAGGGGACGACGATGATCTCCTGAAGTCGCTAACGTCCGAGATAGGAGACGATTTTAATATTCTAGAATACGCTGACCCAGAATTAGATGTAAATGTTCTCAACTCTTTAGATTTTGATGACAATGAAAAGTGTTCGACGTAAAAACAAACTGTCTAACATAAATAAGAATAAAAAAAATGCAATATTTAACTCTATATTTTAATAATTGTCTATAATTGAAAATATTTTTTAGATTTTTTGTCCATTTTTCATGATGGGATCCCTTGAAAATGGCGTTTTCCCCTATAGGGTCCACTGTGATGGGCGTATCTTCGCCAATTCTCATCCGACTCTCAAGCGGAGTACCTTAAACAATTTCTGGATCGATTTGCCACCATTCTGCATCAAAATCCTGAGACAAAATATTTTTCAAATTTTTTGTTCATTTTTCTGAAAATGGGGTTCCATTGAAAATGGATCCCTTGAAAATGGGGTTTTCCTCTATAGGGTCCACTGCGATGGCTATATCTTCGCCAATTCTCATCCGATTCTCAAGCGGAGTACCTTAAATGTTTTCTGGATCGATTTGCCATCATTCTGCATCAAAATCCTGAGACAAAATATTTTTCAGATTTTTTGTTCATTTTTCTGATGGGATACCTTAAAAATGGGGTTTTCCCCTATAGGGTCCCCTATAGTGATGGGCGTATCTTCCCCATTTCTCATCTGATTCTCAAGCAGAGTACCTTAAACGATTTCTGGATCGATTTGCCATCATTCTGCATCAAAATCCTGAGACAAAATATTTTTCAAATTTTTTGTTCATTTTTCTGAAAATGGGGTTCCATTGAAAATGGATCCCTTGAAAATGGGGTTTTCCTCTATAGGGTCCACTGCGATGGCTATATCTTCGCCAATTCTCATCCGACTCTCAAGCGGAGTACCTTAAACAATTTCTGGATCGATTTGCCATCATTCTGCATCAAAATCCTGAGACAAAATATTTTTCAAATTTTTTGTTCATTTTTCTGATGGGATACCTTAAAAATGGGGTTTTCCCCTATAGGGTCCACAGTGATGGGCGTATCTTCCTCATTTCTCATCCGATTCTCAAGCGGAGTACCTTAAACAATTTCTGGATCGATTTGCCATCATTCTGCATCAAAATCCTGAGACAAAATATTTTTCAAATTTTTTGTTCATTTTTCTGATGGGATACCTTAAAAATGGGGTTTTCCCCTATAGGGTCCACAGTGATGGGCGTATCTTCCCCATTTCTCATCTGATTCTCAAGCGGAGTACCTTAAACGATTTCTGGATCGATTTGCCATCATTCTGCATCAAAATCCTGAGACAAAATATTTTTTAGATTTTTTGTCCATTTTTCTGATGGGATCCCTTGAAAATGGCGTTTTCCCCTATAGGGTCCATAGTGATGGCTATATCTTCCCTAATTCCCATCCGATTCTCAAGCGGAGTACCTTAAACGATTTCTGGATCGATTGCCCACCATCTGCATCAAAATCCGGAGATAAAATATTTTTAATATTTTTTGGTAATTTTTCTGATGGGATCCCTTGGAAATGGGGTTTTCCCCCATATAAATATAAACTTTTGACTTTTAATCAAAATTATAATACCGTCTTCAAGAGTATAATAATTAATCGGGTCACAGAGCGGCAGATGCCGGCGATTTCTCAGAATATCAACATTGATTTCTCGTTTCCATTCATGTGAAAGTCGTACGCATGTTACCTTTTCACTTTCTGCTGTTGAAGAGGTCAATAGATAGCCGAAATATGAGACATTTCGGTATTTTACACCTATATTTTATTATTTACATCCATCTGTTCCTAGTTTCTGGGGCATTTTCAAGACTGAACCTTAAGTATGCAATTTTAAAGCAAAACCAAGCACCTCATCGCCAGAACGAGACTTTGGGTAAGTCTATGAGATTAAATTTATATTAATTCCCAAATGTTTAATTCTTGATATTAAAAGTAAGTCTACAGAGAACGAAGTATGATGTTCAGAAGACTATGCGAGTTATTTTTTACAAGTAAGTATTTGATAATTCAATGTTGGTTTGTAAGTTTAAATTGAAATTATATTTATTTTTTTCAAGAAATAACACAAAAACCTTGGAAGCATCTGCCTTTGTAGACACCTATAATATCAAAGCTTCAGGTTGTTCAACCTCGGACAAGTTTGCCATTGTTCTCCATGGATGGATACAAAGCTGTGCTGACGAATGGTCCATCTCGCTAATTGAACGTAAGACACCTTTTGTTTTCGGGAATCTGTCTTTTAAATATTAAACATTTTTCTAGGCTTGAGTTTCTATCGTGGCGGCTGTATAATCTGCATCGACTACAGTGTAGTGGCCAGTTCTTCTTATATGCGGTGAGCTCATTTACTGAAATACAAAGTTAATTATTTTAATTTAAATTCGTTTCTTTAATCTTTAAGATTATACACAAACTTTGATACGCTGACTAAAGCCATTACATCAATAATACTAACTTTAATAAACCAAGGATTTGACCCCAAACGAGGCTACATGTTTGGATTTAGTTTTGGTGGACAACTGGCGTCGGCTGTAGGACGTTCTCTGTGGCCTCTCCGTGTCATCCAAAACATAGATAGTAACTAAATTGTATTAACCTTTTAGCAGCTAATTTAATTTTTCATTATTTCAGCTTGTGACATGGCAGGACCTGGCTTCGACCCCATTGCAGTCGATCACTCAAAGGCCGGAAAACATGTCCAATGTTTCCATTCTAGCGGAGACAAAGGAACCTTTATTTACTCCTGCCATCGAAACATAATGTTAGGTAGCTGTGGACTTAAACAGCCCTCGGTGGTCAGTCAACTGCATCTTGGCAGCCATGGACTTTGTGTCGACATCTACATTAACACCTTCGACTATCCTTTCTACGCCCTCAACTCAACGCCACCCGAATGTCTGTCTTTCCAAAAGGCGGCCAAAATTCCAGACGGCTATACGGTCGGCTACGAGGAGAACTTTGACAGGTATGTAGATCCTAAAACCATGGATAACTTTTTTCACAACTATCCCTGTTTCTCTTAGCCAAGTCATTGGGCAAATTTTCGTTCCGACCAGTCTACATTACCCGTATAATTTATCGAAGAAAGAACTTAGTATGTTGGTTAAAAATAAAGGATAAACTAACAAATCAATTATATTGTATCTGATATCAATTCTTGTGCGGTTTATTGTAGTTCAGCTCATATTGGATTGTAGTTTATTTTTAATTCACCAAAAATATATTTCGAATCGAATTTAAGTTATGTATATATACACTACATTAAATCGGTATAGCAGCCATATCTATTGATTAGGACAGTCATTCGGGGACTGTTTCTTGTTGCCAGGGGCCTTTTGGCCCTTTGCTGGGGGTTCCTCATCATCATCGTAGTCATCGTCCTCGCCTTCAAACTCTTCCTCGTCCTCATCGTCTTCATCATCGACAATGTCACCGGTGAAGTAGAGAACGGCTTTTGGAATAATTCTGGCGCGCAAAAAGTGTCCGATTTCGAAATCGGTTGCTAGAATCTAAGAAAAAAATAACAAAAATCAATGATAATGATAGTAAAATTTTAAAGAAATATCGAGCCTACCTGCTGAGAATCGTCATCGATTTCCTCATCAGCTGGAACCTCTGGGGGATTGAAGAAGTTGAAGAAGGAATCAGTTGGGACCTGCTTGACAATGGTGCGCACAGCGCCACGCTCCTTATGCTTCTGCTTCTTCCTGATGGTCTTCACCGTCAAGTTCATTTTCTTCTCCCAGTTGATGGTGCATCCCTTTATATACAGAAATTATTTAAAATGTCTTGAAAAATAAATGGAAATATAGGCCATACCGTGCACTTGTAGATCTCTGGTCCTTCAAATGCGAATGGATCTTCTGGATCGACCGTCGACTTCAAAACGTATTGCTTTGTTAGAACCGTGTTTGTGAAGAATTCGTTCTTATCGAAATGGAATTCCAGAGTATACGAATGCTGGAAAAGATCGTTTGTCAACATATTTGTCGGTATGCCAGGTGAAATTAATGAAAGAAAAACATACCCCACTATCGTATTTGATGGTAATATCAGTCAGCTTTCGCATAGCTGGTTCGTCGTGGGGTTGCACCATTTCGGAGAGAATAGCAGTGTTGCGGAAAACAGTTAGCCAGAATTCGGGAATACCCTTGGCATCTTTTGGAATTTTTTTATAACCCTTTAAGGCGTCTTGGAGGTGCTCATCGATGTTGTCAAGATCGGCCTTGTCCTCCGAATTTAGCTCAGGCTCCTTCCAGTTGGGCTTCTGGGTTTCGGGATCTACTGTACCCTCAATAATTTCCTTGCGCTTATCGAAGAGAGGCTGGTACTTAAGCTGGTAGCTACGCTCAAGCTTGTACACTTCTTCGAAGAAATCAGCTTCGATTTGTAGGTGCTCCAATTGCAAGTTTTTCAGAGCCGTGATTCTGTTTTGAACTGCAGGAGGCAGAGTTTTAACCATTTGCTGCAGAAACTGCCGCCGCAGCACTGAGTTCATGTAAGCGGGCCTGTTGCAAAGGTGTTCAGTAATTGCCTTGAATTCGAGTGTCGTCATACTTACATCGACTGGCAGTCGGAGCCAGACTTCTCGTCCTCAATTTCATTGCAGGACTCGGATTCAACGGTTCCCTCTGGTGGAGCGTCCATTTTAAGTTATTGCAATTCTTACTGGAGTTAAATAAATAAAAAAAATGTATTCATATTTTTAATTTTAAGAAAATTAAATGTTTTCAATTAAAAGTAAAACAAACGATGTACAGCCATTGAAGGACACAAAGGATGTACCAGCGTGGACATGTACATATGTATGTACATTGTATGTATGTACATACCATTATGTATGTGCGAAATTTTGCAAATGCAAAGGAATCTCGGGTCGATCGCATATTAAAATTTGAATTACATACATGGATATGCATGTATGCCCTTTAATATTATAAAATAACATTCGCATACATCGAAAGATTTTTAAAAACTAATACGCCATTCCGGTCCTCTTGTGCAAATATATTTCTACTCATACATACGTACGCACATACAAATGTACGCTTTCAATCAAATTACCACACATTGCGCTTTTTAACAACACGTGGTGAAGCCCAAAAGCCTAACGGAAATCGGAACGGTTTGACACTCTCAATTAATGTAACCATCAATGTTGTTGCAATTTTTGCCGCAAATTATTCCATTACAACTGTCTACCATCCACACAGATTATTTAAATAGTTTAACTTACATTTGGCTTCAGAAAGCAAACGACAACGACCCAGTAAGCACAGCAGCGACGCCGACGGGAAAAAGAAAAAGAGCTAACAGGGTTGCCATGTCGTCGGTCAATTCGCGCTGTGCCCGAAGAGCTAAAACTTTTAAGCATATCGATGGAACTTTTAATCGATAATAAAAGAACCCAACGAGCAACTTTTTCAATAATATGATGAAGCTTATACCCTTATTGCTGTTATTATCAAAAACAAATACCGTATTTTACATATAACTTAAGTTATACGATCATTAAAATGATCACAAATATAGCACGATCAACAGAATTAAATATTATTACTTTGTCTCTATAAATTTAAAAGAGTTTCCACACAACTATCGCATAAAACATGCATCCCTATGAATGTAAACGTATAAATTCTTTACATAGCACATTTTAAAAAGTTTTTGCAAACTAAAACATGAAAAGAATCATTAAAAATGATTATATTAAAAAAATATAATTATTATTTTTTCAAATACATCAAAGAAAATGAAAAAGTGTGACTTAAACTTTTGCTGTGATAATATTATTATACTTTTTTACAAGTGTCATATTTTTTTTTTAAATTTTAGTTTTGTAAAAAGTATTTAAAAATATTATAATGCCATATCCATATGCATTTACATATATGTATATAGCTTTTTCAGCCACTTTGACTGCCTTATAAACTTTGGCCAGAATCAGTACTTTTCTTCGTCCACAAATGTGGAGGGAAAATTATCATAAAATGGTATCAAGAGGAATTAGGGTGCTAATTGCAATAAAAATATCACTGGCGGATTTTTTTCCAAAATACAATCGGTTTTCATGCGTTCCCCTATGCGTTACATTTGATTTCAATTCACTTTTCATTAATACAACAGCATTTCCCCCACTCGCGATTCCAAATTATATACAGTGGAAAATCATTTTGTATTACTCATGCGCCTTTAATATGATAGTTTTATTTTATTCGTACAATTGAAAAGTTCACTAAATTATAAGGAGGAGGAGCAGCAGCAATAATAAATAAATATATAGCTAAAAAAGGACGCTAGTTAGAATAAGTGGGATCGTCGGAGATTTGTTCAAGGCGCTTGCTCAAGTAAATGGAATAAAATTTCGATGCGCGTCAACATTACATTTTTCCCGTATCAAAAGCGTTCCCCCATGTACATATCCGCGTATGTATGGCTGATTGTTAAGTGGTTCCCGATGTGAGATTTGCGTTAATTGTGCGGTACTGCAGGTTTATGGATCGAAAACTCTTTGATTTAATTGATGTTAGATAATAAGCGCTGTTCCAGCCAGGTGTCATCTGCTTTTTACTTTCGCCCCGTCCTTTACTACATGCGCGTGTAAATATGCACTTCTTTGTGCATGTAGATTTGTATTTACGTTAATCTATGGAATAATTTCCTATATGTGTGTATGTTTGTGATAGCGTACCAATCGATGTGTACAGATTTGTACATTTATCAATGGACAACAGCCCTACTTAAGGTTTTCAGCTTGTCTCTTTGTTTTTTTTTGGGCCCTGTGGGAGATGAGATCGTGATAAGCAAACAGCCTGCGTACGTTTGTATGTAAATACATGCACGCACAAATTTACATATAGTACATGTACCAAGTTGTGCAAATGTATCTACATGTCGCATAGAACTTTTGGATTGCTATCCAAAATATATATTAGGTCATGACTAAACTACTATTTTATTTTTTATCAGTCCATGCTTAACCATACAGTGGGGCTACATAGTTTGCTACGCCAACTTAATTGCGTAAATATGATGTGGTTTCTTTAAAAATCACTGTTGATTTCATATTCTTTTTAGTCATCCTTAGTGAGCAGCAAAATTATAAAATTATATAAAAAAAAGTCTTAAATTAGGTATAAGGGTATTGCCCAACTATGACATAACGAACAACTTAGTAACCGTTATCTCTTGTTCCCAATAAGATTATAAAACGATTGTCGTTGAGATCGAAAACAATTTTTTATCTGACTGGAAAGCATACGTTCGATGGTCTATTTTTTTCAAGACGTTCGCCATCTACTAATTTTAATAGTCATGTGATCATAAACTAATACTATGCAAATAACTTGTGTTAAGGGTGTTTCGGAAGATATCACGGGTTTTCAAGGGAGCGGCAGGGCCAAGAAACTGGATTTAATTAGTTTTTAGTTAATTAACTTTTGGATGTCTAACTTAAGGTTTGTCGGCAGTCTTAAAAAAAGAAAGGTCTTAGATTTGTTAGTTTTAGATATTCTTTAAGTAAGAAGCGGAAGAAACCCGCCTTAGTTTATTGGAGTTGGGATATCCGGTTTTAATGTCTGTTTGATTTCGATCAATCAAGTTTTTCGGCACAGACATGGAAAGTGTAGAAAGTAAACCACAGAAGATTAGAATGGTATTAGTTTTAGGATATCTGATAGCAGCCGGAATAGGGATTATGTTGCGGCGAATCAAAAAAAAAATACTTACACTTTGGGGTTTATAAAAATAAATAAAACTCGCCAAGCTTAGATGTTAATGCTAGGACATTCGCTGCCAGCCAGTATTATGGGAACGTTTTTGATTGTTTTTTAATCCTCAAGATTATACTAAATATATCTTTGTATTTCAGAGTGCCTTACATCCATAAATATGCCAGATAGATTTCAAGTGACGAAAGCAGATGAAGATACCGTTTTGGACTACAATCAAGATGAATCGGCGAGCGGAAAACTTCTCGGAGACATCCTCGACGAGACGCTAGGTGAGAACCGAACCAAAGCTTCCGAACCAAACCACGTTATGGAGGGGAAAGGGGGTGAACATTTTCCATGTTACCCTGGGCGGACTGTAGTGTCGGATGGAGCTTATGGGCCTGCAATACAATCCTCCGGTGGCCCAATTGTAAAAGTCCTGGATGCCCTGCTGACACATTTTCCGGCAGCTGTAAGGCAAAGCTTGTTGTACCTGCGAAAAGCTTTCGAGTCTCAGAGACTGAGAGCCGCCCAGGCGGCATAGCTTTCGCCTTGGATTTTCCCTTCCCTTCCAGCGGATGCTGGGCGAGAGTGCTGAATGTCCTGGCAAATCCTGCGGCTGAGAGTGGGCTTGTGTGGGCCGTGGGCCGTGAGCCGTATACCAAGGAATGTACACCTGCAGTGGCGTTCGCTCTCACTCTCACCCTGTCGCCATCCCATTATTTTGCTCTCAATGTGGTGTCTTGTCTCCTTCGGCATCGTCCTGGCTTAGCTCTCGCGCGGGAGAGTGTGTGTGTATTAAAAATGTGTGTAGACAAAAGCTTTCGATTTCATCTCAATTGAACGCTCAGGGTCCTGGGCAACATAATTTTTATTCGCCCGAATACCAACAGTTTTCTTAGTTTTTCTATTAATCCAAACGAAAAGTAGCATACATCTGAGCGTTTTCGCTCGCCTAAAATAATTTTAGAAAGAATCTTCTTTCAAATAAAACAAAAAATTATAAAAAAAAAACAAACAACAAAAAAAAAAAGCCTAAAACATGAAAAAACCAGTTCTTTTTTGAGCACCTTTAACATATAACATACTTTTAACAATCGACGAAATTCTAACAATAATCAAATACATACATGAAATACAAGTGCGTTCAATTACAAAGTGTGTGCCATTTTTGAAGATTACACCCAGAGAACTCAAGTTATATCCTTTCATTCGCCTGTGAATGCGGCAAGCTATTCATTTCGTAACAATTTGCCACAACATTAGTTTCCTCGAACAGTTAGTTTTTTATGTGCTCGGCTGCCAGCTCGAGGGCCGCATTAAAAAAAAAAATAATAAGAGGACTTTAAGATTTCTATTTACCGCCCAACGATGACGGCCTGAAAATCCTTGACCTAAATTAATCGGTTACATTCTTTTTTTTTTTGGTCTGAGCTGGCACAATTTCCTTTGCTGCGAGTACACAGCATCGCCATCCTTCTTCCTTCTTTTGGATTTGAAATTCATTAGAAATTCCACACTTACTTCGGGAGCACCGGGGTGGTGGAGCACCACACTTGAAACTCCCTTTTTTTAAATCTCCAATAAAAACGAAAAAAAAGTCGAATCTCAAGTACATGACCACATAAACGTGAATATACACTGATTCGGCCACGCCTTTCGGTTATATAATGCGAATGTGAAGAGTCCTTTTTTTATGCTATGGCCACTATATTCTCGTTGACATTCTAGTGTTACCTAATTTTAAGTGAAAAAAGTGCAATCTAGAGGAAAAGTTTGAAGTCAAACCTAACGTTAACATGCAAAGTAACAGTGCAAAAGATGATTCGGATGAAATGGAAATAATACCATCCGAACACAATGGTACAGTTCACGAAACAAAAAATGAAGGTATATTTGGAAATCATTATATAAAAGTTATACCTCAAAAATTGCATAATTTTATTCCTAACTAACTCCTACCCAAGAACTCCTCATTAATCTAAAAACTACTCTTATTTACTTGCAGACTCAGGTGATATCCACAGGGCTGAAGAAAACCAAAAGTCCAACATCGACCCAAATCTATATTTATACGATGATGATTTGGCGACCAGGCCCCATATATCAACGTTCATTTCATCAATTGCCAATTATGAAAACACGATACCAGCGGCCACCGATCCCGATGCAAAGCCGGCAGCTCCATCGGCTCGAATGGGTATGTTTCGCCGCGACTTAATTAACTTATTGTCTCTTATATTGAAAGGCCCACGACATGGCATTTGCACAGCCAAGGCACATCACACTCCATTATACAAAATGCAGTCTTTTCAGCCCGACAAAGGCTGTATAAGAATAATTAATTCCATCACTTCATCGGTCTAACCCTCTAGCCCGCATTTCTGAGAGCATTCTTTTTGAAAAAAAATACATATGTGTCTTTCCATTAGGGGGCACATCTTTCCCATGTTGCACATCAATTTAATGAAAATGTTTTAGATGAAAGCTTGTCAATAAAAAATAATTAAAAAAAAAAAGAATATAACTCTGGTAAACTAACAAAATGGTCGCTAAATATTTCATTTTAAAGGTACCCTAATTGGAGTGTTCTTGCCATGCATTCAAAATATCTTTGGTGTCATATTG